TAACAATTCTGTACACTATTGCTTTATACATTAACAGCTACTTAGCTTTAAAGGGGAATTCCACCAAAAATAAAGATTATTTGGAGAAAACGTTTTGCAATTTGTATGCATGTTTTCTTTCATTAGTGGCTATGATTTCTCTCATTTTCTTTTAATCGTGCACACTTTTTCTTTAATTTGTGACAGCTCTTAACCCTGCAGCTTGAGGTGTGAGCAAAAAAGGAATGAGTGGCTGCATTGTGGGTTCATCTCTGTTAAATATAAAATTAGTAGAAAGTTGTTTTTCTTCATTACACAATGAAACTGCAGCTGCCCTGATGAATCAGCTGTTTGCTGATTCTGATGCCCTGCTGTGCAAGGAAGCTACGCTACAATGTCCTCATAACACACCCAAATCAAAATCAAACCTGATATCCATTATGGCATTAATCTAAGAACATCAAAACCTGTCAGACAGTTTCAGAGAGGTGTTAGCCTGCTTGTGCACAGGACAAGTAAAATGGCCAATATTTACTACATTTATTTTGTTTGGGTACGGTTAAAAGAAAATATGCGCAATATTTAAAAGAAAGCACATACATGATTAAAATAAAAAGAGAGAGTGAATTGTTAATCGTGTGAAGGAATTAAGAAAATATACCCACAAATGAAAGAAAAATGTGCATGATTAACAGAAAATGATAGAAGGAACATATTCTTTTCAGATTTAACACTAGTTCACCATTATCAACATTACATATAAAACTCAGAAGGCGTGTGTAAGTTCACTGGCCGTTTTGGATAGTAAATAAAATGACTATACATGAGTAGTGGACATTACGATGCCTGGTTCCTATCACCATCAAATGAAACATACATCAGAGTCGATGCATTCTCAAAACCAATTTACATCAATGCATTCTGAATGACTTTGTTTGTACCTCAATTACTGAACTATGCAGACTTTTTGTGGAATTCTCTTTTAAGTTATGCAATGTTATTGAGCTGCATACAGGCTTAATGTGTATAACACACTCATTTTGTACAATAACAATAAAAGAAACAAAGAAATAAGATTTTATCCAGAACCTGCCTGAATATTACTTGATCAAAGGACATACAGAGTAGATCTGCTACATACATAATCGTAACAGGTGAGGCACTCTGTCTTTCTCTCTCTCTCCCTTGCTCACTCACTCGCTCTGCTTTTCTCTCTCACTTCTGACCTGAAACTTTCGTTCTATGATTTAATCCTCTCAGAATGAATGGTAACATTTTCCAGCCCAAGTGGCGCATGACCTACTTTTAAAAGACGCACAAGTAGCATGTGGAAAACAGTTAAGATCCTTCTTCAGTTCACGATTGCTGGCTGCACTTTTAATATGCTCACAATTACGCATAATTATGTCCCATAACTTAATATATGGAAATTGGGTCATTTTGGTTCACCTCTGAGCAACCAGTGACATTATGGTTACAGGGCAGAAATTACCAGATTACTTAATGCAAACTCGTCTTGGTAAATATAAAGAAAATTAGTATAGCTTGGTGAAGTAAATAAGCAAAGAGTAGCCTTGCTTTTTTTTGCACTTTCCTCTCAGCTGGGTATTGCTGGCTTGTCACTGGTCAAATAGCCACTTGGCTGCCCAGTACTCTGGAACAGAAAATAACCTTCATGTTTGCCTTCATTACTTCAGAGAATAGATCCATGTCCCCAGTTTCCAAGAATGTTTTTCGCTCCACTTCAGACCAGGATGCCTGGGCTGTGAGACTATTAGTCTTTGGCTAGATCACTTTCTTCCTCCATACCCCTTATGAGTTGTATACTCTCCACAGAAAAGCATTACCAATAGAACAGGGTGATGTGGAGAAGCCACACGAGTCAAAGGTCACCATGTTGAATGCCAAGCATTGGCTAGAGTGTTCTAAAATCCCCCAGCACTGCTCTGTGGAACAGTGGAACTGAGTTCTCTGGAGTGATGGAGCTCCATCCAGTAAGTTTGTGATGAGCTGGACTAGCGTTTGTAATCCAGTACTAATCATCCAACATCAGTATCTGACCTCACTAACGCTCTTGTGGCTGAATGCAATTAAATCTTCACAGCAATGTTCCAACATCTTGTGTAAAGCCTTCTCAGAAGAGCAGAGGTTGTTACTACTGAAAAGGGGTGACAAACTTTCTGTTAATACCCTTGATTTCAGAAGAAACGTTGGATGAGCACGTCTACAAACTTTTGGACATATTGTGTACCACACTGACAGAGGGTATTAGATTAGGTACCAACAAGGGAGATCCATAGAAATGTGTCCTCACTATTGAATGCCATTGGAATAATGACAATTATGGTAAATTACATGTGTTGAAAGGCCTGCAGGAGAGCCCATCTGAACTGACTACCCTTATGTGGGAATAATTAGAGCTTAATTCGGATGTTAGACCAACAGGGACCGATCCAAAAGCTGAACAAACTGTTTACTTCTTAGGAGAAAATAAACAGTCTCTCATCACTGCATCTGAGCTAAACAATAACAGAACCTAACACCCTTGTTAGGGTACTTTTCTCATCCAAACTGCATCAGAGAAGGTGAAATTAGTGAACCTTTCTGCACGTATGCAGTAAGTTCCCTTTCTTATTTATTTATCAACTTCATACATTTCATTATGTTAAATCTCACATATATTACATCTTATATGGAGCATTATTAATTTGGCTCATTTTAATTCTTCAGACTTATTATTGCATGCAAAAGTTTGGGGACCCTTGGTCAAGTTACATGTTTTGTTGATTTTCTAAGTGAAAATATGTTAGCGCTTCCTCTATAGGGAACACCCTTCTGCACCTTTTAATACACGATTCCTGTTTATTTGCTGAATTTAACATATTGCAAAAATCACACACGAAAAAATCAAATACAAAATGTGGCCTCTGCAAAGGCTATGGAACATTGTATATATTTTTTTATATATTATATATTAAACTCAGCAAATTGTTTCTTGTTGGAAAAAGCCTTTATAAATGTTAATCAGAAGAACAGCATGTTTTACTGTGCAATAGAGCTCATTAACCACCATAACCCCCAGTCTATTCCTTATAATACTTGATATCATGAATTTGGTTCCAGACAACCTGTTTCAACAAAGCATGAGAAAAATTGGAAAACGTCTGTATCATGTGTATTTTGGAGTTGAAATAAGGGCAGAATGTGCTCAGCTTTGCTATTGTCCATCCTTTAACAATAACAATTACCACCACCACAACTCTAGAAAACAATGGCTATCTAAACGAGAAATGACCTGGCTAGCTAACCCTGTGTTTTCCCCCTTTGAAAGGGCTGTTGGGAAAGTTCTTTCAAAGTGCCAAGTAAAACATTAATGTGTTTTAATTCTGTTATAAAGAATATCTGGTCTGGTAGATAAGATGTGTATTTTTCACTGGACAGTATGTTTCTTAGTACGCTAATAGTGGCCAAGCCAGGGTGTTCTCTTATTTTAGTTCTCATCACCTGACTGCAGCTTTTGTTAGCTTTTGTAACACCCTATTTTCCTGCATAGACTCAGAGACTACACTGCTGTTCAAGAAAACGTCCTGCAGTGGTTTTCTTCCTATCACTACAATAGGAGGATTTTTTTCCCCCATTAAAGAAGCCCACTGCGAGGTGCCTCAAGGATTAGTTCTTGCACCGATTTTGTTTTTAACCTCTTAAGTGGCCAGGAACTGACGGTAGATTCAGAACTACATTACACCCTCTTTTTACTTTTACTTAAACTTTTTACTAAGTCAGTTTGCATTATTTACCATGTTATTGCTGAATAAAATGCCTTAGAATGTAATAAGCTTGAGATTTTAAGAGGTTAGTATACTCTGTCTTGGAAAGCACAACAAAAAATGTAATCAAACTATTTCAAGGACAGAAAGTTTCATTTGAAAAATCTGTTAATATTTAATAACCTTATTTTTTTGTCCTATGTAACCCACAAGCCTGGGTTACACAGATGTTTTTGGATCAAAATGACATCACGATTTCATTCAATGTCATGTTTTGTGACAGAGGTATAAGGCATGTATACGGTATTTATATGCTTAGGCTACAGGTCCAATAGCTTTCCAAACCTATGCATTTATATTATGAGGCCTACATTCAGTCTATATAAAAGCAAGTGAATTCTGAACTAAACATTCTATTCTAAGTGGTTTAGGAACATTGTGTTGGGGTTGGAACACAATAATAGTAATGGTCCTGCTCCGAGCCAACTGATCGCCTTTTTATTCAGTTTCTGAGCCCTGCTGTACAGCTGTATATTAAAACAACATCAGACAAGCCATGGACAGTCTTAAAAGCTTCCTGGAAGAATCAGAGAATGGATGAAGGAGTACCAATCAGCAAGTATTCCTTCTATGCCCATTATTACAAACTTATTATTATGGGTGTAATGTTCGATGCATCTCTGACCTTTGTAAAAATGATGGTAATACAATATTAACTATATTTTCCTTAAAAATATATCCACTGTGTGGTTGACATTCAGTAATTGCATTGCTGAAACATCAACCTGGACCTTTGTTACTTCTTGTCTAGACTATGGAAACACTCTTCATGGTGGTCTGCCAACTAAATCCTTGAATAAACTCTATATTCTGCAAAATAGGGCTGCAAGAGTCCTTACCAAAACTAATAGCCCAGTTTTTTATCTACACTGACTTCTAGTCAGACAGTGAATTTTTGAATTATTATGGCGATTTTTAAGGCCTTGCATGGCATTGACACTTTTTGAGAGACCTTTTATATTTGAATATCCCTTCTTGTTCACTAAGGCCTCTTAAAATAACCTTTATGTACCAAAAGTCAATCTGTGCACTATAGAAAATTTAAGTTTTTTTCCTCTTGTTAGTCTCCAATGGAATTCTCTCCTGAACTTGATTAGAAGCATTTCGATCATCTTTAGCATTATATGACTTCCATGCTAGTAACACACTAATGTTAGAATGTCCATGTGGCATAAAGCATTAGTTGTTTCCATGTTTTCCATAGCACCTTTATTCAGTTTTCAACCTTTCCTGAGCAAATGGAAATAACTTTTCATCTTCAATACTTCCAAGCCAACTGTTGTTGAATGTAAGATGATACAAAAATGAGTACAAAACTAGCAAAGTCATTAAAAACTACAAAGAAACATCAATCATGGAAAATTTGTTACATCATTAACATATAGGTCACTGTATTTGTGAGGCTTCAGCAATCCCCAGTCATTGCTTAGTCGGGCTTGTGTTCTGTATTACATGTCCTATTAAAGGCTACTTATTGAGTCATACTATGATAAATTATTCCAGACAGAAATAACATCAGAAGCCATTCTCAATCATTGGGAATTATTGAGGATACTAGGTCCCTGAACCGTTATTAATAATTTGAGCACACATGCTTGTATTTCCTCATATACAGACTGCCTTGAAAAAAAAAGTGCTTGATATCTGAATAATTATATAGAAACGTGTTATTTTAAGTATTATATTCTCTCTGTCAGAAACAGTATGTTGTTTTGGCTTCAGTTGCCATGGTGAGCAAAAGTTCATTTATGGAATTGGCATACAGAGAGGGAAGGAAGATGGAATGTAGATGCCAGTGGTGTCTGGCTTTCAGAAAGTCCTCCGTTACCATTTCCCCGGGATTGGGACACCACACTCGTACCAGCCCACGAAAGGATGAGGCGTGCGCTTGCCTATGGGCCCGAAATTTACAGGCTCCTGCCTATATGAGCGATAGTAACCTGAAATCACAGAAAAAAAGCAGTTAAAATGCTGCTGGGGTACTCTGATGGGCAAAGAAGATTCAAAAGATTCCCTAGATTCTTAGATTCTCTAGATTCCTATTAGTCCAAATAGGTTTCAATAGGTTCAGTGCTTGGGCCCCTAAAAAATTACAATGTGTGCTAACGTACCATGTGCAATATTCCTGCTTTCTTGATAATTTGGTAGAAAAGTCAACAATTAGACATTTTTCTGAATACTGCTTATGCCACTTGTAGCAAAAAATTCTGCGCATAAATTAAATATACCACACCAATTTTTGTATTTCAGAAATTTACAGGCTCCTGTTTATATGAGCAATAGTAACCTGAAATCCACAAAAACAAAGTTAGTAGTTAAAATGTGGAGATTACAGTCATATGCAGTCATATACAGTCAGGATTTTCTAAGTGAAAAAAAATTTACATATCCTCTACAGAGAAAACAGTTCTGCACATTTTAAATCACAGTTACAGTTTATTTGCTGAATTCAACATACTGGGGAGAAAATACATCATAAAATATGGCCAGTGCAAATGTTAAAGCACATTTTCCATTTTTCCAGCATGTTAAGCAGCAAGTAAATAGAAATAGTCCACTAAAATTTGCAGAAAATGTAACAAAATGTAATTTGTCCAAGGATGCCCAAACTTTTGCATATGACTATGTTAATGTAATGTATTTTATTCATGTGTAGATGATGACAGATCATGTTTTTCAGAGCAGTAGTGAGATGAAGTGCATTTTCACAGTGTGAGACTGTAGTACCTTTAGCTGTGGGCAGGTAGAGGGAGAGGCTGTGAGGTCCTGTCCTTCCTTCTAGATAGGAATCTACAAACTGACAGTGGTCCTCTCCATTGCCAAATGTATCACCGATACTGTAGAAACTTTCTGAAATTGTGAGAATAATTAGCATAAATACCTTTTAAAACTGAAATCACATCTACTACATTTACACTGTAGGGAGAGCCAGAAATGCGGGGCATTCTGACAAAACCACATTTTAGACATGAGAGAAAATGCAGAAATGAGTCTGCTCAATATTATGACAACATAAAAGATAAAGGCAGGGACTTCAGGCACTAGTGAATTATGTTTGTTTCAGCAGAGAAGAGAAAGTGTCCAACATGGAAAAGAGAGGAAATGGAACGATACCTTTTAGGCCATCTCCCATAAAGATCTTGTAGCGCAGTGAATTGCAGAGGACCACGCCCACAAACTTTCTGTACCAGGTGCGTTTTACAAATTGACTTCCTTTACAGGAGCTGTGGGCTGGGTTGTATCTAAAGGTATAAGGAATCCAAATAGGCTCGCCACCTGGAGGAGATATGGGCACATGTGTGTTCTAAAACAGACTTTGACACTTTCATTCATATTTCTTAATTAGCACACTCTACATGACTAAATTGAAATTATGTTTAGAAAATAGCCCCCTAATAAATACTCTTTAAAAATAAACATTCATAGATGGGTCCATTTTGGGGCTTCCACTTCTTTGAAAAGAAATTACTGGTATGGAAGAATGATTCCACAATTGTGGTGCCACTTGCATATCACTGCTATTTTTACCCCCCTATAATGTTACCCCCCTCCTTTGGGGAGACTCCACTTGGACTCTCCCACACCACACTTGTACACCTGCAAGTGATCTAGAACTCATTATCCCTTTGTTTGGTTTAGTTGTTTGCGAAGTATCTGTGTTTCTACCCTGAGTTCTGAGCCATTTTTCCTTTGTTTGTATTTGTGTTTTGACTCTCACCCTGTTATTCTGGTTTTTGACTACGGATATGCCTGTTATGTTGCCTGTCTGTGTTTTGACTCCGGCCTGTTGTGATTAGGAGTGTTGAACTCCGACAAATAAAGCCATTTCGCAACTGCGGCTGACCTAGAGGCCTCCGATGTTACAACTAGGCTAAATAAATACTTGATAAATCTTATTATACCCATCTTCTTTAAACCAGTGTTTCTATTTATCTTGTTTATGTATTAAAAATAATAGAAACGTAACATTATAGTGATGTCACTATAAACAGGAACCTACATTTGATTAGTCAAGTTCATATAATGATTAATAAGTGTTGATTTGTTTTGGTTTGTTTTCGTCCGTTCCTGTGGATACCACCACTGGATTCTTTAACCAGTTGTCAGTCACAGACAAGCCAATATGAGATAAAAACAGATGGATTGTGATTGAAAACTCTTGTGAATGTTGATTCTCATAAAAAGACCATAGGCTTTAGCAAGAAACACTTACGTAAAGTAGCCTTGGGTAAGGTTTACTACATCAGCTCTGTGAAATTAGCAGCGTTTCAGTAGTTAAATAAGCTTATAGCAATTTAACGACTACTCTTGTAACAGACAGGCTATGGCTTCAAAACAAAGCCAAAACTTTAGAAACTGAAAAAAAATTTGTATACAAAAAGGCTGTTACAGATGTCAGAATTTCAGATCTGTTTCAATCTGCTTACTCTCTTCACTACAAAGAAGTTGCTTATGTAAGATCATAACTCATATCAGACCCATATCAGGGAAACATAAACTGATTTGGAAATGGATCCATAACCTAAATAATTACTTTTCAACAACTAAAAACATAGACCCTCTTTCTCTCTTTCTCTGCCCCCCCCAACACAATATATATATTGTAATATATATATTATATATATAACACAATATATATTTTATTTTTTTTCCATCAATGTATTTCATATATATATATATATATCAATAATGACATGCTTCTCTGTTATCAATTAAAAGGAGCTAGCAACTGTTATAAACAAGCTAACTTTGTCCACATGTGATCTTGACCAGGTTCCTGCTTCTCTTCTTAATATGGTTTTTGATCTTGTTAAAAATGACGTTTTAACTATTGTAAACTGTTTTCTGTCAACAGGTGTTTCTCCAGACACTTTTAAAACTGCCTTGGTGAAGCCTCTACTAAAAACAAGTAGCCGGGATCCTTCGTAAAGTCTTAGCAAAAGTTGTGTTCAAGCAATGAAATGTGTATCTAATTTCAAAAAGTTATATATCAGGTTTTCATTCTAACCATAGTACAGAGACAGTATTGGTTTGTGTTGTGAATGACCTCAGGCTCAGTGTTGATGCACAAAATTCTTCTGTTCTGGTCTTTTTGGATCTTAGTGCGGCTTTTTGTTCTGTTGATCACAAGATTCTAATCCACCATTCTGAACACTGGGTAGGCCTCTGGTTGTAATCTTAGCTTTGAGCTCTGTTTTATCTGCTTTATATGTAAACACAGTCACTAAAGTAGCGTTTTAGCATTTGAGAGATATTGCTGAAGTTCAGCCTTTTCTATCTCAGAATGAAGCAGAGAAACTTGTTCCTGCATTTGTCACAAGCAGAGTTGATTATTGTAATGATCCTCTTATTGGACTTACTAAGAACACAAACCATCCTCTACAACTCACACAAAATGCGGCAGCACAGATCCTAACAAAAACAAAAAAGGGAGGTCATATCACTCCCAATTTGAAAGAACTGCACTGGCTACCTGTATCGTTCAGGATAGATTTTTGCTCCTTAAAGTTTTGCTCCTAGTTTTTAGGGCTCTAAATGACCTTAATGCACCTGCTTACATCACAGAGTGTCTGTTCATGTTCAGGCATGTGACCTCAGATCTGCAGATACTGACCTTCTGGAAATACCCTCTGTAAAATACAGAAAATTTGGAGAGGCCTCTTTTAATTATCATGCTTTTAAACTGTGGAACTCTAAGGAGTTAATTTTTAAAATTATAATTCTCAATATTTTTATCATGGATTTTAACTTTATACAATTCCACCTTTTATTAGACAGACAAGCTCAGTGCACACTTTTAAGAAACATTTAAAAACATTGTTAATGTTATGCTAAAGAAATTCTGTTTCTTTGAACACTGTTACCCATTACTAGTGAGAGGCTTTTATAACAGTATCAGGGTTTAACATGTATTTATTGTTCTATTTTATAGCTCCAATTTACTAAATTACATCAGAGCTCTGATATAAACACTCTTCGTGTTTCACTCCAGAAATCCACACTTGACCCAACACAACAAACTACAGACTCTTTTCACTTTTTCCATTTTATTGTCCAGAACCAGGGAACAGGCTGTTCTGGCACGGCTGTCTTCCCCTCTCAAGAAAAACCATGATCTGGACATCAACCAGTCAATACACAAGTCAGGACACTAAATAAAAAATGACCCCTGTCACTCAAATACTCTCTCCACAAAGCCAGAGAGAACTCTGTGTCCTCAGTCCTTGTCCTCGGTGACCTGTCTGCTGCCTTTGACACTGAATCACCAGATGCTTATTTCAACACTTACAGACGTGGGCATCAGCCGCTCTGTTCTCCCTATTTCTCATCTACAAAGCATTCCGAATGCTGCTCGCCGGCCAATACCCTCCTCAAGTTCTCCTTGACTGAGATTACCTCTTATGGTGGTAAGAATCACACACAGAGATCTAGTTCTGGCATTCAAGGTTTTGAAGGGCTCAGCTCCACACTATCTCTGTGATGGGTCTTGGTTCGGAACCACATACCTGCACACTAAAGTAGGTCTTCCACATCTGGGCTCTTGGCAAGTCCTTTCCTAAGACTTACGCATGCTTGTCAGGTAATGACTTGCTGCTTCAGTGTTCTTGCCCCTCAGTCAGAAGTGAACTCTTCACTGCCTGAGCTATTTGCTCATTTGCATTTAATTGACCAAATCAAGCTATGGCAGAACTTTTGTCCTTTAGGTCATAAATTCATGCATATTATACCAGTATTTTCTGTACTAGTCTTTTATTGTCTCCAAAAAAGCTATTTTGCTTATTCCCTGTTACCCTATTCACAATCATTCACACCAAAACTGGTGCTGAAAAACTGGTTCTGTGGGCTCCTTTAAAAGTTAAAAGGCCTTCATTATTACAATAAAGCACACCTTACATCCAAGTGTATATCATTTTCTGACATATAATCATTAATTACTCAAAAAGCAGTATCTTATTCAGGAGAAAACTATGCAATGCATTGCACTGATTTTCAAAACATTGCATGTTGCCATGTTGGCTCAGCAAAATGTGATCAAAAAAACAGGCCTCTAAAAATGTTAATATTACTACCTGAGATGAGTATACATATCTTTGGATGGTTAAGTGCATGTTTTTGTAAATTCAAAGTTAAAATTAAATAAAACATTACTTTTACAGAGTTATAAGGGCTAAATGGCACCATAGTGAAATCAAATAACCAACCATGAAATCATTTAGAACCTTTAGGTTATGTGGATTCTTTAAAAGGCCCATATCTTATATTTCCTTGTATTTTATTATGAGGTCAACATATAATATTTGTGTGATTTTATAAATCATAAATAGCCAGGATTCATTTTTAAATGGACTATTTTCCAACCTCTCTTTAAAAAGGCTGTTTTTAATACTGTGCCTTTAGTGAGAATGGGTGGGGCTAAACTGCTGTAGGCTGAACAGAACGATATATGTAAATGCATTGTTTTTGGTGACATCACAAAAAAATGAAAGCTTTCATTTTGTGGATTGTGTAGACTGAGGAGTGAACATTTATTGCACTTCAAAACTTTAACAATGTTTACATACTACACCAAACTATTAAAAAGTCCTATGATATGGACCCTTTCAACTAAAAAAAAAATTAAATGGCTCTTTAAAGAACTGTCCATTCAAAAGCTCTTTAGGGGACCAGAATTGTTCTTCTGTGACTCTGTTTCAGCACCTTTATATTACAGTGTAGACAATTACTGAGTGCACTTTGTGTATAATAGATGTGTCTTACCTGGGGGTCTCTCTATAAGAAGGGGGTCATCTGTAAAGAGGACAGAATTTTGGTTTAGAGAACGGAACTGTTTCCATTGTCCAAAATGAAATAAATAATAATAATAATAAATAGAGATTCTGACCTGATTCTGTAACATATGTTAACGTCTCACTGATCGGCCCTAGACCAAAAACGTTCTTCGCTTGAACTCTGAAGTAGTACCTGGGGAAACAAAAGAAAAATTACTTATCAAAAGTCATAAACCTGAATGTCTGTGAGGTTTTGAAGAGTATTCCAATCTTAATAAGTAATCCAGATGGCTGAGTGGCTACATATTTTACTAGAAAACTATTGTAAAGCTAAAAAACGTAACGTCCAACAAAACGCCCACTGGTAAGACGGAAAGAGAAGTAGAGCAGTTTTCACAGAAAGAAAGCCAAAAAGAGAACTGGAAACATAATAAGTAAAGACAGGAGTGCAAAAGAGAGAAAAAAAAAAACAATGACCTAACGGAGGAGTCTTTTCTTATATTACAAATGTCACTGAGACATAAGCTTTCAGCTCCATGGCAATCCCTGCTTCATTTGATCAATTAGAGAAGGATAAGAAAAAAAAAATTGGAAAAGAGAAGTCTGAGTAGGTTTTATACACACAAAAAAGAATCACAAAGCAAATTAGAAAAGAAAAACCTGACAAAGATTAAAGTCTTTGCCGTCAGTAAGGAGAGTGAACGAGAGAAATCAGCTCTTTTCACTGCAGTATGTGTGTGTGTGTGTATGAAGAGCAGCGATCAGTACCTTCGCGCTTCGCTTGTTTTTATTTGAGCCTCATTTAATGACATTAAATCAGCATGGCTGGATCAAATTAGAGGAGCCACGTGGAAACTCTGACCAAAATAAAGAGAGAATTCCAAACCCAGTCCCAGTCAGACTGCCACAGCCAGAGTGGGGAAGTGGGTGTGTTTCCTTTTTCCGTATCCCCTAGACAACTAATCTAAGAGGATTTGAGTGAAAGTTTCATAATAAAGTCTCCATATGGCATTTGTATGGCGGTGTCTGTCCCTGCTAAAGTCTACATTTCAGTTCTGAAGTTGATCAAGGATCAAGCTGGTGGTTTCTCTGTTGACAATAACACTGTTCAAAGGACAAGCTGAGAAACAGAAACACTCAATTTAAAGAATGCATTGAATTGACTTGATCCAAATGTGTGCAACATTTCCACGTGAATAAAATGCATTATAACAAGCAGGAGGGGCTTCTCCATTCCTAGGTTAGCTTTACATGGTGTAACTAGCTGCATGTTGCATACAATTTACATGCAACTTGACAGTTACACAAGGTAATTCAAAAACAAAGTTGCATGCAATACTTATATCAGATTATATCAGTAGTTGGCAAGTTTAGTAAACAGCAGTTTTCATTTGTATGTACCCTCCGGACACTTTATGAGGTATACACTACTGACTCTCATTCATCAATATATTGCTTACTGTTGAATCTGATCTTAAAATGAGCATGTGCAAATTTCACAAATAATTTTGTTATTCATCAGTTTAACGTTTTAATCTTTGGCGTATCTGTACCACCAAACTTATGTCAGGTAAGAGTGCGTAAATCAGAGCGTAATATTTTAACAACCTAAACTATTATCATTATCATCTATAATATCAATACCATTAATGAAAAAAGAAAATAACAATAATACTAATAATTAAATTTAAAAAAGTGGAAGTGCTTATTTTACAAGCACAATGATGTAAACAAATGCCTTTCTTTTATAGTGTTAAAGTCTGTAAAATCTGTGCTCTTTTTACACAACTTTGATGGATAAGGGCCACTGTCCAGTTTATCAGTTCCCCTTACCATATAGGTGCATTTTGTAATTCTACAATTACAGATTCTTGTTAATTTGTTTTTGGATATTTTCTAAGCCTTTCTTTACCTTGGTCAATGGTCAGAACTCCCACAGAACCACAGATATTATTTTCTTAGATGGTGGATCATTCTCAGCAGTGCAGTTATACTGACATGGTAAGTCCTATTGATTGTTATATGTGTATCATGTCTGTAACTTCTTCCTAAAATGTGACCTCTAAAAATTGAGCCAATTTGGATTTTGGGTCATTTTTTGAGCTGGATTACTTGCTGCTACTTTGCCTTATCTCAATGTAACCACTCTAGTTAGAGAGAGCAAGTCCGGCTGATGGTTGTGATATGAGTATCATGACTGTAACCTAACCAGTTCCTGAGCTTAAGTACTATGAAGTCTAAAAATGGCCACGCAAAATGCATAGAAGTAAGAGCTTCGGTTTTAAAAGCTGGCTAGCTAGCTATTTGAGCTAAAAAACAAATAGACTTTTTTTGTCTGTTTTCATGGTAATTATTATATTCTTTATGAGAACATGAAAGCAAGTAATGTTGCACCAAAGCCAGCCTTATTCCAAACTTATGAATTCTCACCTTAGGTCATCACTAATGACTTAACCTTGGTGTATTTAGTCTACGAGACTACATTAGTTAACTGTCAGGTTAAAAGTAAAGTACACTGTGTTTTTGTGCACAAGGAGCTCATAAGCATGTGCATGTGAAGGACTGCTGCACATATGCATTCAGTGAATGAGGCCTGTCCGGTCAGATCTGGTAGCCGCCACATCACTCCACATCTGTGGGAAATGTCCGGACAGCCCATAAACATATTTCAGATGAAGTATAACTGTGACTACAAAGAGCTGGTGCGGGTAACCTTGGGAACCAGAGTTTTGACAGGAGCGTAGCGGGGTCGCTTAGAAGCAGTAAACTGTGTTTTGTGTGTGCGATTGCGGGAAACGTAGGAGAGACACAAGCCATAACAAAGCTCACAGAGTGTGAGTGGAGCTGGATCTGACTGAGCCAAGCCTGCTCTAACTCTGTTTCTGAGACCTAGTCATTGAGACATATGATAAACATTAGCCACTTTCTGCAACATAAAATGCCCATTTTCTTCAGCTCATGTGAGAATGAATCACATGTGTAATCATGCTCCTTTTGACTTGAGCGCAATAGTGGATAGATGGAGACAGGCGAGAGAGAGACAGAGGGAGTGGGTGTTGAAAGATGAACGTAGTTTTATATATTACGTAATAACACTTTAGATATTAAGTCATGCTACTTAGCCTCGGAAGGACTGTTATATGAATTATAGCCATTGTTTTGAGAACACATGATGTTTGACATCAGCGCGTAAGCCTGAGTCTTACCAACATACAGTACATCTGCTATCAACATGTGCTCTGTGAACTGTCTGCATATAAGATGCAAACCACCTTACAGTAAGTTCTCCTGCCAGCTTGTAGATACTCGTCTGGCAGTATGTTCAATTCTTGTACTGCATGATGTGAGTCCAATGGTCATGTATACAGGAACACTCCCTGCATGGAGTTTCTCAGCTCTGCAGGCCTTTAGACTTAATGTCATCATGATTTAAAGTGTTTTCAAGAGCTCTCCAAACCCACTAAATGTTGAGCGTTCCCCTGCTTCACCTTGACTGTGCCTTATCACTGTGCTTAAGCAGTTATAACACATGAGCTTATTCAAACACACCATCATAAGCACAAATCAAGAGTTTATTATCATGTCAGTTTCATCTCATTGAAAGATTCTGATTATTATCTTTAAAGAAAAGGTATGTTGGTGCTACACAACATCTGGCTGGAGAAAGACATGATGTTTAGATTGAAGATTGATGGCGAAGACAAGTATTTGAATTTTCAGACTGTGTCATAAGATTGCTGATACGAGTGAGATCTCTGAGGTCTCAGAGACCATGAAGTTAGCCCCCATATGGTGTCACACTAAGCCGGCTGCGTTATTAACATTTAGTTAGTGGCGTAGGCAGAAATAATATTTTTACGTAGGCCTGTGAAAAAGTAGGTAGGGCAACTTGGTAGATACAATTTCCAAACATGCTATGACCTGTCATAACATCAAGCTACTCACTGTTGTCAGAACAAAACCTCATATCTCTAAAATGGTAACTTTACAGGAGAAGGAAAAAACATACTTTACTTTTAATGTAAGTCAATGGAACCAGACATTTTTCAGACTAATTTTGGACTGTTTCTTTTGGTCCAGTAATCATGAACTTCACCAACAACAAAATGCCTGTTGAAAAACATGCAAAACTATGCCAAAAACTGAAAAATGACTAAAAAAGGAGATAGAAGGTTTTGTTCTGAAAACAGTGTACTGATTATTCCTGCCTGAGGTGAAGTTACAACTCTACCTATTCCAATGTTTCCACCCCTAGTCAGACAATGGTGATCAGGGGAACTAATGAAGCTCACCTGGAGTTTGGCTTGAGGTTCTCCACAGGTAGGTGGGTGCCAGATGAGAGGAGAGATGACCATCTGTTGTTGAGGACATCATCATAGGAAGCAGTGTGCACCATGTACCCTGCAGAAAAGGCCATCACAGGTAATTATAGTCAAATTGAATAAAGTATGAACATATTATCATCATTAAATTCTTGTAAAGCATGGTACCATATCTGAAGATGACTGATATGCTATATGTCTTAAATCCAGACAGATCTTCTAATTAGTGAATTCAACTGTTTGCACCCATTGCTGACACATGAGTTCTATTTGCCCACACACACAGTTTGTATAATATTCATAGAAAAGCACTGATAATAAAATGAGACACTGTGGAGCAGCTGCGCATGAAACTAAGGTGGCATACCCTCTGCAAAGCGCTTGGCTGGTGGAGTATGAAGCAGGGCTAAAAAACTAGCAGTGAGATAACATAAGTAAAACCAGTAAAACTAGAAACAGCAGTTGCCAGAAACACAAAAACTAAATCAAAATTGTAATATTCACTGACAACAAAATTGTACTACGAAACTAAAGCAAACTAGAAATAGAAATAAAAATACTAGTAACAAAAATATCCCTTCTCATACTTTTTGTTTCATTATGTTTTCAGGGTGTGAAAGATGGTCTAGAAGTGGATATCTTCTTAAACAGGTAGGAGATAGATTGTCTACAGTTGTGTTAATTTAGCAATGCAAAATTCATGAGAAGGAAACAAAAAAAGTCAGCAGATGTCTATAAACTTTTGGACACATAGTGTATGTAATACTACAGCTATGCGTCCAAAACTTTATAGACATAGTGAATGTAATCTTATAGCTATGCGTCATTTTCCTCAGCAGAACAACAAAATTTAGTTGCGTATTACGATATGGAAAGCTTAAGTCATGGCATTTACAAGCAAAAATTATACAAGCATTTCATTCAAGACCTCATGAATCCTTAAGATATAGCTATTCATCCTTCTGATTGTTTGCATGTGCATGGTACTGAAATAGAAAAACTTGAGAAGTGTGGAAAAGACTATATATGGAATGAAAGAAGAAGAGGAGAAAGAAATGATGTGATGTGTAGATAAGAGTGGAAAGCAAGGGGAAAACAACTACTATCTGTTTTAGACATCATGCAGTTTCACAGCTCCCTTTGCATCCGTCTTTTCTGTTCATTAGCCAAGGAAAACACAGACCCTGAAAGATTAATTATGACTAAGGTTATCCAGTAACCCCAGAGACTTCACTTTAGGTCTCATTGTGAATTATTGTCTCTTAGTCTTACACTCTGTCACTCTATTAGAAATGTTTGACATTCAGCTTTGGCTAAAGAGTGAACTTGGACTCATGGTGAACCACAAGAGAAAGCCCTGTCCATCAGCTAATAGACATTCAACAGAATATAGCGGACTTTGAGGAAACGTTCCAAATGAGACTAACAGCACCCATATCTGTGGTGAGATGCTTAGGAAAAACATAGCAAGAGTATTTATGGACAAGGCTTAGACTTTTCAGCATGCATACTTATGGTTAACTAATATGTCAATTTGTTTAACAGGGCATGTTAGACTTACCTGACACCATGTCATCCTTCAATGGGCGGGCCCAGTCCAAAATAACAAACGAGTGACAGCCCTCCATGGCGACCACCGTGATGTTATGTGGTTTGTGTTTGGGTGGCTGCTGTTGACTGGCTGCCAAGCTGTCTTTCTCTATAAGATCGGCCAGGACATCCACCTGCAGGTACTCCAGAGCCTCTGTCAGGGAGCATGGAGCACCAGGGTCCTTCCGGATGTAGTTCACATAAGGAGCTGAGATAAGGAGCAGAACAGGTACTTATTGTCAACCTGAAATCAATACTAATATTTTTAACCTGTAGGTTCGTGTCCTTGGTCATGTTAAAGGGGCATTCTGCAAATACATCATGCAATCCTTGAGGTGTCAACCAATTCTGAATGATAGCTGCTGATCCACTGGATAATAAATACAACTAAGCTAGAAATAGTCTAACTCTTACGTCAGTTGTCAAACAAAATCATAAATAAAACAACAATTCTATTCTTAGTTAGCACAAAATGGATGCCACATACAAATTTTTTGCCCTTTCAGCCAGCCTCTTACACTTGGTGCTGTTAAAGTGCAATTCAGAGGGGTTAGTTTTACATGGGGAGGTGGAGTAATGTAATTTTTTCACAGGACGTCTGTAATATTTATGGTCAAATTGCATGGGACATGAATTACAGCGATGGGAGAGGCTACTTGATTTATGCATTTTCAATCACACTAAAAAAGTTCCATACACAATGCATTTGGCTGCAAGTAGCAGAATTAGCTTGGGAATTTCCAGCGTTCAACATCACCACATAAAATCAAACATTTCTCTGTCACTGTGTACTTTTTAATGTTCTGACTCATACACATGAGGTACACAAATACATACTGGGTCAATTTAGGCCTCAGAGAATACAAATAAACACTTTGCCATTCTTAAGAAATACCCCTTTTCCACGGGATATGATGTAATATTTACCAGCATGGCAATTTGCACACGGTTAAAGCAGAATTCCAAATTTCTGCATAATTTAATGATTGGGATGTAAACATAGTCATTCAGTGTGGATTGATGTGAAAATTACTCTGGAGAAACTTACTGATTCAGATTTCTTAACAGTGGTGATGATAGGAACCAGGGGTCTACCTGTTTACTTGGGCCCAATCCCATTTCACCCCTATGCCCCTACCACTTAGCCCTTACCTCTCCATTTTGCGCGTTCACACCTAGGGGTAGGGTGTCCTGATTTTTGTTGAGATGGAGAAATAGGGTGAAGGGTAAGGGCTATGTAGTCCAAACAGAGAGTTATGAGAAAAAAAAAACAGCATGATGCTTTGCAAGCGATCAAACAAACCCACAAATGTGAGCATTTTCTCTGTTGAAAAAAAAAATACTAGTGTATTACCTTAGTTTAGTGTTGTTTCAATGTATTATGGTCTTTTTCTTCACAACAAGAACAAAAAATCGCTATTAGTATACTGATGTCTCAGTAGCTAGCTAGCTAAATTTCCCATTCCACCTTAAATGGAGCAGCAGTTACATTCTGGCCCCTCAGGCTGCACCATTTAAGGTGGAACGGGAAAATTCAGATAGCTGTCGAATAACTGATTTCAGCTTCATGTCATCGAAGAATTAGGGGTGTGCGATAATAAACAATTGTCACCCCCCCCCAAAAATAATAGTTAATCTAGAAAAGTATGTTTTCTTTTGGGACTCTTTTGCCTTAGAACTCCCCGCATATACTTCTATGCCATGAATGGCTTTTAAAAAATATGTTTTAGGCCAAAACCTCCTCAAAACTATCATAAAACAACGTCTCAGGCATCACAACGTTATCACTACCGTTTCATAAAATAGCTTTCTGTGACGTAGCTTTTAGAGACATTAAAATGTTCTGATGTCTGGTTACTATCAACACTGTGAACAATTCAGTCAGTATGTTTTTCTATAATGGAGCATGTCACATCAAACCACTATGAAAGACTTTGTGAACTATTTAATTATTTAGAAATTTTGAAAAAACTAGTGGAATGCCACTTTAATAACCTGAGGTTATTTATACAGCTCTACAGAAACACAGGCAATAATTACATTACCCCACCTCTCCATGTAATCCCATTTAAATACTCCTTCAGATGCCTGATATAGTTTAGTTGGAAGATGTTCTTTGCTTTTTGTGGGGTTTGTGTGAAAATATTGTTTGTTTGTGTGGTGGATGTGTAACAGTTTGCAGTCCTATCCATTGGCAGTCCTACGCTGTCCAGCGGAGTCTGGCTGTTGGCTCACTGTAACTCTGTTATTGTGGTATTCTGACAGCTGGGAACACTACCAGAAGTTCCTATTTGATTGGGCCACAAGATGCACACCTGGAGCCAATCAAATGCTCCATGAGATGTTGTCGTTGATCTGACCTCCCAACCAACAACACACACACTCAAGGCTGCACTGAGTTTCGGGCTAAGAATTAAAGGCTTCTGTTCATTGATAAGCAAAGATAAGAGTAAGCTATGTTTTTAATCATCCTCCAACGTTCACACGCGCTCAGAGTTTACAGATCACATTGCCGCAGTTATCACATCCAAATGCCAGTGGCAGAAAACAGACACAACAGAATAAAAAATAGCGGATGTTTTGGAGATCTAGGGAGTGAAGGAGAACCCAGACTATTAAACTCCTTAAAGCTCAGGGGATCTCTTAGGCCACAGGCAGAAGGAAGCATCACTACGCTGATATCAGCACTTTTACTTTATGTTGCTTTATTTCTATTTTTTTTAATACTTCTTTCTTTTTTATTTGAACCCCTTCACAGTAATGCCTTTCAGATGTGCAGCGCAGCTCTGAGTCTCTAGAGTGTCAGGATTTATTGGCCCATCGTCTGTACATGAATGTGCTGTAGCACTTTGTTGCTGGTACTACTGGAGGTGATTCTTAGGCCTTTAAAACATGTTATTGTGACACTGTGGCTCCTGGATCAACTGAGGTATTTCAGTCTTCTCGTTTAGTGAGATGTTTTTACTGGCTGTGGACTAAGACATGTTCATGAGCACAGTTGTGACTGCTGCTTGAACTGCTGGTGTACATTAACACAACCTCTCTATCAATTTCATTATGCAGATAGTCATGTGGAAAAAAAAGATAAAAAAATTGATGGAATTGTATTTCATATCAGATGTGTATGTTATTTCCACACATGTAGACTGTATTGCATTAGTACTATTGAAAAAGTAAAAGAAAGACAAAAGCCAAAACTGTGCTGTGCAAAAATCAGAGACCACCCTTTCGATTACCACCCTTTCATTTAAGTTCCAGACAAACAACCCTTAAGTACATATTATTTGTTTTCAGCATCAGAAAAAAAGCAAAAAATGTATATTTAACAGAAAATTACACAAAAGCCTCTAACACAAGTATAATATGCATTACAGCTTGAATTCTTTTCAGGAGATTTGCTTTCAGTTTTTCAAGGAAATCTGCAGGGATACATTTTTTTTAGCATACTACCTGTAAATGTCACAAAGTTCAGTCTTAGAAGTTGGTTGCATTTTCTGCTTCTCATAATCCAAGTAATCCAAAACACATTCAGTGATGTTAAGGTCTGGACTTTGGGGTGGCCACTCCATTGTTCTGAGAAGAACACCAGCAGCTGCTTTATTTGAAAAGCAAGTCTTGGTCTTTCAGCTGTGTGCTCGGAGCTGTTATCTTGCTGAAGGAACAATTTCTTCCCTGAAGTTCCCAGTTTTCTTCACAGTTTTTTAGAGGGTATTGTGTAATTTATTCAAATTAGGTATTAGCATTTATGATTCCTTTAATCAAAAACAAATCACCAACTTCAGATCCTCAATTGCACTGATGTTTGGTTCAAAGAGTCTTTCATTCCTTTGACAATTTTCTCTGTACCTCTTAGAAATTGTTTTAACTCTAGTTTTGGAAACTCCTATTTTTCACTTATTTTCCTTTGACTTTTCAGTTTCTTATACATGATGATCTTACATATAATCTCCTCAGAAATATTTCCTTAGTCCATTTTAAAAGCATATGAGAAATAAGGTTGAAGGCAGCTAAGATGTATTCGGTTAGTAGCTTGTGTGAATGTTAGTATCTCTTTGAAGGGAACAATGTCAGTGACTTCTTTGAGAACAGCTTTCATCTTTTCATACAGTTCATCTTATATTGTAAAAACTAGCATAAAAAAGTCAAAATCACTCACTCATAAGCATGTAATGGCTTCTTGTTTACAGGACAGTCTGTATCACAGCAAAACCTTTAGTGTAATGGTAACATTTTAACACACAAATAAACTTTTTCCATAAACCGAATGAATGAAAGGAATCAATAAAAAATATTGTAAAGAATAATGGGACGTTCATTGATACATTATGTATATCAGTAGTTTTCAAAGGTAGCCCCCCCCCCTTGCTCCCATGTCTCCACCTCCTAGTCATTAATATCACTTAATAAACGAGGATCTTGTCTTACCAGAACCTTGTCCATTTTGATAGCTTTTACTAACTTTCATTACATTTAAGTGGGTGCTGGTTGGCTGCGAATTGTGATTGGTTGGGACGTATAAAAATAATGAGAGCATAAACTTAAAATTTAAAATGTAAATATGAAACCTAAAATGTATCAACTGATATCTGTTATCAGAATTTTTAGGCACTTAAAATTAGTAGTGAACACAAAATTTCTGTCCTAAATTTGAAGTAAATTTAAGTAAATCTAAAGCATCACTTTCTTCAGTGTAACTTAAGAGGTTGCACATGCTGACTTTACAAGTCAGCTGCTGCTTGTAGTATAACCTCCAGTATCTCTGATGTTGCTCCCTTGGTGTATTTAACAGTGTTATGTAACTGCCTTTTACATTAGCTGCCATTAGTCCAAGCTTAACAGTGCTCTGGCTCATACAGAGTTCATTTGGATGTTTAACTCTTTTAACTGAATGTTACTAAAGCTGTTCTGTTCTGGTGCTACTGGCTCCTCCGGTATCTGTGGTGTTGACATCTGTGCTTGTTCTGCTCTCCCAGCAGGTCTCACTCCTGAATACATCATCCTTGCAAGTCTGAGGACCATCGAGGGGCTACTTCATGAAACAATAAGGAGTTGGCTGGTTATGTTACTTTCATTCTTAGGGTGTTTTTGTATTTTTTTTCCCAACCAAAGCAGTTTCTGCCAAGAAAAGCACATTAGCGTGGAGCTGCGAGATGGTGTGAGCTCTCAGAATACTGGCAAATGATCAGAAAATGGGGTCTCCAGGTCAGCAAGACCATTGTTTTTGACAAGGTTTACTCATATATACAATTTTAGTTAATGTCTTAACCCTCAGAAGTCACCAGCAATAACAAAATTGTGATGTAATTCAATAATAATTAATTCTCAATTGTAGCTTATTAAAACAAGTGGATAAATTCTGCCAAAAGTGCAGTCTGTCTGTAAGCAGAAGAGTAGATATTTTATTATGACTGGAATTTGATGAAAAGTAATCTTTGTACACAAAATCTTTTCTGTGGAATGAAATCTATTTTGAAGGTATTTGCCATGTTTTTGGCATTTCCTGATACTGAAAACAAACGGAAAAAAGTTAAAAGCGCAGACTCAAACCTGTCGATACAAATCGAATGTACATATAACCAGGTTTGAAAAAGAGTTTTGAGAGTGTGAAGAACCCTTAAAAACGCTTAGAGAGCCCTTCACATAATACAAAATTTCTTTACTAAATAAAAGTGTTCTTTCCGAAATTATTATGTTACTTGGAGGTTCTTTTAACATTAAAAGTTTCTTCACATTTACACTCACTCATTTAAAAAAATGATTCTCTTAAGAATCATCCACTGAAAGGTTCTTCAGTGAACCAAAAGTGGTTCTTCTGTGTGATGCCACTTATTTTTAAGAGTGTAGAGCACAATGAAGGTAATAACAATTGATTCACTAGCAATCGTAACTCTTGCCCTTTGTAGAATTTATTAACTGGCTATTTCAGTCTCTTTCTTGCAGTTAAACTGTCATCAACTCATTTAAAAACTGCAACTACAGCTTATGCAATCGCATTCAAACTTTGGAATGGAGGCATTGGGCAGTGGGTCTGAATGTCCATTCTGCCTCTGGTCACATGCCTTAAGCTGGCCTTAGATCAGAAGCATGAGCAGGTCGATGGTAGATGAGCAGAGCAGACGCAGTGCTGTTATGGTAACAACATACTGTATCTCTACAGGCTGGAGAGGAAGTGAGGGGTAGGATAATGTTTACAGTCGCCTCAGGCTACCTCTCCGGCCAAGACCCAGCCTCACACAACCATCTGTGAGATGCACTCAACATCTGCACCAGGTTCTGTATACAAAGCACTGGATAAGAAACAATGAGCAATAGAGAGCAGAATAATTCACTTGGAGATAAATGCTACAAAGGCAGAACCACATTTCACATTTTGTTGCGTGTAATTTGTTTATTTGGCACTGCCATTGGGTTTTTTTAGTAAAATGATCTGTGCTACATACTTGGAAACTATTTCAGTATCCACCAGTTCTCCTCCAAGCTTAATTCTAGCCCTAGCATATCCAGCTTCCAGAAGACCTTGATTAGCTGCATTGGATGTGTTAGATTTGGATTAGAATTCAATTCTGCAGGAATGTAGATTACAGTTCATAACCACTGATCCATCTAAAATGTGAAAAAGTTGACTCTGAGTAAACAAACACTATCTGTGACAAGTTAATAACCTGCTCTTTTAAAGTCTGTTCTTCATTTTCAGACGTCCCCTCTAGGAAAGCCTTGGAGGCCCCATCTGTCCACCTTATCTTTGAACTGAAGCATCTGATTCATTATTATGATGGGACACAGAAACATACTCAACTTGCAATGAGGATATTTAGACTATTCCAAGAGGTAATTAGGTTGTGCTTTTCAGTGCAATGTATTCATTATGTGCCTTTATAAGAAGCCAAAATAAAATGTAGGGTCAGGTAAGAAGCCACTCCAACACAGCGGGACTGGGCTGAACACAAAGTTTTGGCTATCGTTCACGGTGTTGAGTGGAACCCACTTTCATACACATTTTCTGTTTTACCTGGAACAGAGTACTCAAAGCTCTGCCATTATTTAAAAGTCTCTCTCTCCCTCTCTTTGGGCAGGAAGCCACATCCCACAGACTTTCTGATTATTTATAATGTTAAGTTTAAATGCTTTCACTCAGGCATTCAGAGATATTTCCTACAGAAGCTGCCCACATGAAACAACCTGAGCCCTTAGAGCCTGTAAAGTCAATGGCCTCCTCAAATGGCCTCCTGCAACAGACGAAGACGAAACATTATCTGGGATTCTAAGCTAGGACAAAGGCCTAATTGCTCACAGGGAGCCATACCAATGAAAGGCAGGGCTAAGTCAATTTAAACTGAAGCTGAACTGAAAAGCTTTAGGGAGAATTTCTTTTTTGATTCATCTACACGTAGACACATACTTACACATTACCTGTGAAGCGTTTTTTGCCCAAGACGTCAAACTCCGAGGATGGGGTGTTGTTGAGTGGGCGTGGATTCTCAGAGATGGGGGGGTGAGTGGTGGTAGGCAGCTGAGTGGTGGTAGGCAGTTGAGTGGTGGTAGGCTGCTCAGTAGTGGTTGGCTGCTCAGTGGTGGTTGAGAGCATCGTCGTATCCCTCCAAAACTCGCCTGTAATATAAAGGTGCATTCTAAACGACAGCACAGGATCTGACGATGGTATCTTTTACCCTGTAGCCTAGCTTATATAGACCATTCTCACATGTCAGCATTTATTAAAGCGTAAATAGTAGCGTTAAATGAATTATAGTCGCTGTAAACTATGCCTGGAATAATACTGCGTTTTTAAATGCACCAATAATTCAACCAGACGGGCAGACTTGTGATGGCTCATCTTGAAGATAAATATTAATTTACTGGCATACCATCCAGGAAATTACAGATGTTTGCTTGACAACCTTGAGAAATAGACAACGACGGCATCATATCTTGGTGAATAGTTCACTTTAATGTAGGAACACAGTGCTGTGTCTCTGTCCTAGTTGTGGCATTCAAGGCAGTCGCCAGTGTTGCTAATGTTCACATATGCTGAGAAAGAAGAATTAATCCTGGTAGATTGTTTCTTCCCCATAAATGAAACGCAATATGAACTAGTTTCTTTAGTCTATCCTATAATATGTGAGCAAAACCGTTCAGCCCCTGCATTAATTTTTTGGTTCAGTTTTACCCGCCCTCTTTTTGATTGGCTACCACCTGGAAAAAATGCATTCTGCAGCAGATCGAGCAGAGCCTGCAGAATCTTCTTCCTGCCATAGGATATAATGTAATAAAGATACATTGTTAACTTAAACAGTGCATGGCTACTACAGATTTTGAAGATATGTAAATAAAAATAAATAGAAAATACAAACTCTTCACAAGCATACATGAATTTTTTCTACACTCAAATTCTTAAAAAGTCATATATCATGTATCATGTATCTCCAAAATAGTAGCTTTACAGCAGAAGGCAAAAACACTCTTTACTTTTAATGTAAGTCAATGGAAATCGATTTTATTCTAAGCAATTTTGCTGCATTTTTATTGGTCCATTCATCATGAAATTTTCACACAATGTAAAGAATAGCTGCCGTGCTCAAATAGAAAAGTGAAAATCACAAAAAATGGAGATACATGTTTTTCTTTGGACAGCGACGATATATAGACATCTGTATATTGTTGTTTTTAGCAGTTGCAGTCCTATAATCAGGGAGTGCTGCAGCCCCCTCAGTACCCCCACTTCCTTTGTCCCTGCTCCTACTGGCCACGCTGAGACCAAGGGAAGATTTTTGAGGAAGGCTGAAAACTGGTGAACCATTCATTGTTGCTGGTGAAACTTTGATAATGCTACTATTTACAGTTGGATGTGACTGTGAGAAAGGTCTCTTGCACATACATTAGTAATTACAAATCCTTTTCAATGTACTGTTTTGGGAAAATAATAGCTGTGTTATTCTTTTGCAATTGTGTAAATCATCCTTTGAAGCAGAGTGGGCTACATAACACTGGTAAGCACACTTTTTTGTCACATGATAATTAATCTGTTAGGAGTCTCATTTTCCTGACATGTTTTTTATCATTTTTCAACTATTTTCACTTATTTTTTTTACTTTCATGATCCTTATTCAGGCGAATACTCTTATATCTAATCTCCTCAGAAATATCTCTTTTAGCCATTTCAAATGTATGAGAAAGAAATTTGAAGGCACCTAAGGTGTGTTTGGGTAGCTGTATTAGTGTCTCTTTGAAGGGGAACATTAGGTCAGTAAATTCTTTGGAAACAGATTTTGCTGGGAGCATGCAGCTGTAACTGGTTGGATTTAAGATAGGAAAGATAGAAGACGTAAGTGACAGTAGTGTGCATAAAAGTAAAGACTGGACAAGTCAAATGCCGATAGATATGATTATATTTAGTTGTTAAGGTCTCTGTATAATTATGAAATATATGTTTCCTATTTTTCTGATACTGAAAAATGAATAACGTAATTACTGTTTTGACCTGAAATTGAATAAACAAATGGGCGGTATCTGATTTGTGCACAGTATTGCATCTGAAGAATGAATTTTTACAGGATAAGTGAAGCCAAGAAAGGATTTTGTAGGTTCTCAAATTAGAGAAAGTTGAAAACAAGTGGTTATCATAAAAAATTCCTAGGAAATTATGATAAAACTACTGTGAAATAGTAAGTGGCCTATTGATGTACAGAGCTATGAAGTGTAATGTCATTAAAAATACACTTTCAACTCACTTTTATTTGGATTTCTTCCTGACAATATTGATGTTGTCAGTGAGGAGCATAATGAGCGATTTCATCAAGACATTTCCAAAATGGAAAAGCAGTAATGGAGAAATGGAGCTCTAATATCCTTGCTGACTGTTGTTGGATGCTCAAACGAGACATTCTAGAAGCAAAATACAGCATAAAATCAACTACTGTGATTTTTTTTGGTAAAATAATTATGCTTTTTATTTGACTTCAGCGGAAAAAAAAAATACTATTAGAATCATCTTTCAGTTCATGTGACAAAAAAAGTTGTTACTAAGTGTAATCAACCCAGTTAGACTGTACAACTGTTCCATCAACTTGTCCCAGGATCCTATCACCCCAAGGCAGCAGTTGTTTGGAAATAAAACATGCAAAGCAACCACAGGAAATTGTTCTAATATATGCAGGCTAGGTCTTGAATGCAGCCATACTGTGGCTATTGTGTTCAAAAGACCAAAATTACATAACAAATTACACAACAAGGCCAATTCTCTAGATGCAGCAAGTCATTCCCAAAATTTATCCAAATCGTCTCATACTCAGCAGCAGGCAGCTAGGACATTCTCCTTCAGTTAGTCATGCAGTACATGGAGTGACTTTGCTTTGGAAAAGAAAACAAAAGAAAACTCGACCCAAACCACAGCAGTAAACAAGAAAACAATACAAGAAACAAGAGAATGGCCTGAAGTCGATGTACAGACAGCACATAAGAGAATAGAAACAAAACACAAACAATGAACAAACACTCCATAAAGCTCAGCAGCCAGTCAAAGCCAGACTCAGCCAATACCTTCCTCTATAGCAAAAGCATCTTCGGGTGCCATGGTGATTGTAACCATGGAGTCTAGTCCCATTCCTGAGCCAGCTTCTGTAGGTGAAGCAGGAGATACTGGAGCATGTTCTCAAATGCATAGCATACTTATCACCATACTGAACCAAGCATAACTCACAATGTGCACAGCATAATTGCTTCATCTCATAGAAACTCAGAGGAGCAACCAGCTTTACTTCAAAGATTCTTGAAGGAGAATACTGAGCATAAAAGAGGTTGTGTGAGATGTTGCACTGTTACAAGAAATCAGCAGCTCTGCTAAATGTGTGCTGAGTTTTGCTGTAAATTTAGGTTAAGCACAAAATTATTGATAGGTTCTCTATTCATCACACCCCACAGCCCAGCACTCGGCCGTGGAGCAGTGAAACTGTATTCTCTGGAGTGTTGGAGCACCACCAAACACCTAATCAGCCAACATCAGTATATGACCTCACTAATGCTCCAGTGGCTGAATGCAATCAAATCCTCACAGCAATGTGCCACTTTCTAGTGTGAGCCTTTCTAGAAGTGTAAAGGCAGTTACTGCAGAAAATGGGGACAAACTGTCTATTAATATGGTTGATTTCAGAAGACATAATAGACAAGCGTTCTGTATACTGTACACTTCTGAACATATACTGTATAATCCCCTTAGGAACATATACTTATGACAAAATATCAATAACTTATCAATAATAAAAAACAGATTTTACTTCAGTGTTTGGCTGCCCTAGGATCACCACTTGGTTTACTCACCACACCAAAGGTTTTTTTCTGGCACATCTACTATAAATATCATGTCTATGGGGAGTTGGGTTGATTAGAGACTTTCTTGAATACAGCTACTACTCAGGAACGACAGGGAGAAGTTTAGTTTCCGAATGCAATTTCATATTTGGATTAGCCTTCCTAAATTACAGAGGTTCCGAAATTGTGGAACCTAACTAGATTCCAATAATAAATCATGTTACACAACAGTAAATTATGTGGTATTAATGGAAAGCCAGGACCAATTTAATATAATCTTAACCCTTGAGATTATAGTACCACTAAATTTGCATTACATTCCCAGGACATCTGTGGTTAAACGGCAAAACATGTTTTCAAGACATCATTTTTTACCCTTGTTCAAATGCAAGTGAAAGTTCATCTGAAATCTCTGACTGTTTTATCATTGAAAGACTTTATTTTGTAGACTTTTTTGAATTTGTACTTTATTTGTCATATTAGAAAAAGCATCTGCATGTGTGGGATAAATGTCCTTTTGTACTCACCATCTGGGTAGCAGTCCAGTATCCCATCCTTATCCATAATAGGGAAGCCATTCTTATCCAGCCTTGAAAATGTTCCAGGGGGACAGGTAGGATAGGCGTCTGTGGTTGTGGGCTCCAGAGTTGTCATTTCAGTTGTGGTAGGTTCAGGAGTGGTTGTGGGGGTGGTGGTGGTGGTGGTTGTAGTTGTAGTTGTGGCTGTTGTGGTTGTAGTTGTAGTACTGGGTTTTGGACGATCCAGGCCCACCACTGGTTTCCCTCCCACAGTGAGGTACTTCTCTTTGGGGTTAACCACAGGCCGACTGTCTCTCCCATGACCAAACAGAGCCACACCCTCCTGGTTTACTAATGGAGAGCCCTGCTCATCTATTGGATAATGGCATTAAAAGGGAGTTCATTCACTTTGATTCACTTTAAAACAATGAACACATTTTCAATACCAAGTTGTGGAAACAGGAATATGAATAAGGAATCACACCAAAAATAGTTTTTCCGTCTTCTCCGAGGACTACTTTCCTGGGTCGGCCTCTAGAATCCTGCAAAACCTTCCCATCTTCATTCATTAAGACCCCTTTATCCAGATCTACAACCTAAGGGAGGGTACATTCACTGTAAATACATGAGAAAGATTAAACAATACACATGGCAGGAACATACACAACATCATAGAGATATTTCTTAACAGCATGTTTTGATCTTGGTAAGGATGCTGTTTGACAGAGCAAGCTTCTTAATTTATCACTCAGCTAAGTAAACACACCCATCTGGTTCCATCAGGGCCTGTGATATGTTTGACTCCATTTGCTTTTGCATTTTCATCTGGTGTAGAAGATTTTTTGCCATTTGTGGCTGTAAGATTTGGTCGTCCATTTTTTCCTATATATGCAGAGGAAAGAAAATATGAGATACTGGATCTTCATAGTTTGATTCATAATGTTACGAAAGGCTCTCCAAACTTGCTGTAGTTTGTGGAAAACGTTACGTTTACCTTGCCCATAACTAGGTTTGTAACCGCTGACTGGGGTTTTCCCTCTTGAAATGGTGTCCGATCTGCTTGGGTAACGCAGTCTTGATCCCACCACTGGATTACGGGCTGAAGCTGACAAGGTCTTGGAATCAGCTGCTGTGTTGCCACTTGAGCTTTCAACAGTGGGAGATTGCCTCAGGGGTGAGCGCGGGACTGATCCCAGAGTTGACCTACCATTAGCATTACTGCTAATACCTGTGCCTCGGTGTGAAGTAAGGGCTGGCTGTTGCATGGTCTGGGAGGCAGAAGAGGATGAAGAAGTTGAAATGGATGAAGAAGAGGTGTCTTGTTTAGCAGGGGAGCCCAACCGTGTATGTTGTACGGGTTGCAACCTACCAGGGAACTGTGACCCGTTTAGACGACTTGCTACGACAGGAGAACGAAACCTTCCATTTGAACCCAAAACAGGTCTGCGGGGAACAGACTGAGAACCATCCTTAGAGGTTTGTAAAGGTTCTGATACAGAAGTTTTAGGAGGTGCAGTTGGGACAACATCTTTATTGTCAACTTCCCTGCTGCCCTCATAAAGGTAATCATCTTCATGATCATTGCTAGTCTTTGAATTGTCACTATGTATGTGATCATTAGAGGGTGAGGCTGTGGGTGCTGCAGTGGTAGGATCCACTTCTTGTTTTGAGGGGTAGGTTGTGGGGGAAGGTGTGGTTTTATCACTGCTGTCCTGCGCTCCTGAAACAGATGAACGAGATGAAGTTCCTCTTATGATTGGCCTCCCTGCACCTACAGAAGAGGCAGTTCTGCTCCATGGGATCCTACCATCTTGTCTTCGACTACCCGCTATTATTCTGGAATTTCTATTTGCCGCAGAAGAACCTCGTCCTATGAGAGAGGGGTTTGCTCTAGAAGGAAGGTGAGGTGTGTTTGCATGACTGCCATCACTTTTGTCCTTTTCCTGTGGACTCTCCTCTTTGGGTGAGAAGGAATTTGTAGTGGCAGGTTGATAAGATGAAGGTTGTGATTCATTACTTTTAGACTCTACTTCTTTTTGTTTAGGTTGATAACTTTCTTTGGCATCTTTTGTATCCTGAATGCTTGTAGAGTGGCTATCACTTTTGTCAGACGTTCTGGATCCTGTTGCAGCTGTGGATTGTGATGAAGTAGCAGATGAAGAACCAGGCTTCGGTCTGTTACCCCTAGTTGAGATTCCGACCCTTCTGCTAGAAGGATGAACAGACCCAGATACTGTACCACTGCCATGACTTGCTGTCCCAGATGCTGATGATGGTAATGAGGCTGATGATGATGAAGAGGAAACATCAGAGGTAGAAGCTGATGATGAAGACCCTCTGTCTGTTTCAGGTCTGGTTTCCTGAGGAGATGGGGTGGATGATTTTGCATCTGTAATGCCGATCTTGTACAAATCCTTTCCTTTTGGATAAGAACTGGCTGTGTAGTCTTTCCTCGTGGCTGCAGACTCTTGGTTAACTCCACTCTGAGTACTTGACAGTGACCCAGAACCGCGGGAACTCGGTCGTCTTAAGCGAGAATGGGTATAGCGAAGGCCCTCTGATGTTTTAGGTAGAGAGTCAGGCGAGGAAGATTTTGGAGATGAAGTCTGTGTGTTGGGTAACGAACTTTTGAGAACTGAGCTTGTTTCCTTGGCTTCAGGTGGAACTTTTTTGGGTCCTTCCTGTTCAGTCTTTGAAGGGACATTGTTAGTAATTTCTGGTTGTGTGTCCTCAACAGCTTCATTTGCATTATCTTCTTTGGGAGTGTCTGTTGGTGTTTCTTCCTCATCCAGTTCTTTATTGCTACTTCTGGATTGGGATAGCCTTGAGGTCATCCTTGAGCCAGAACCTGAATTTCTGACAGAACCCCTTACAGCAGAGAAAATGCTATGATAAGACCGTGTCTGAGAGAGTGGTCGAGCTTTCTTGGTTGTAGGTGGAGTAGTAGTGGTGTGGGCATCAATTTCTTCCATTTCTTCTACATCATGCTCCAAGTCATCATGTGGTGTCCTGGTAGTGCTCTTGGAAGGGGTAGAAGGTCTTGAAGCAGTACTGCTGGCTGGCAATAAAGATAGTACAACAGCTTTAACTTGCATGAACTATTTCTGTTGGATTTAACACAATAATAACACTCGGCATAACAGCAAATCTATGCAGTTAAGTTTAAATGAAATACAATCAAAGTGACATTACATCTGTACATTGCAATTGTACATGCTTTCATACTTTTATTGTTTGGTTCTGTAACCTACAAGATGACCTCTCATGAACAGTGACAGTCAGGGGATCCAAATGTAAAAGAATTGTATTACAGCAATAAAGACAAGACAGTGGACAGATGTAAAACTATCTTTCAAACAAAAACATTATTTAAGAATCTTCATTAAACAGAATCTCCTTTTTGCAGTCTTTATAGTTCCCTTGGTTAAATATTTGGTCCTAGACATAATTTGAACATTTTTTCGAGTCCTCATCAAATATCAGTTGCAGAACTACGCAGTAGTCATCTTGTCTCTTCATTCTGTTGATCAGCAAAAGAATTTGAGGTATTACTCTCAGGACTTACTGCCAGGCATTGCAACACTGAAGGCCTTAGACTGAGGTCCTTGTCCTTTCCTGTTGACTGCCCGAATTTTAAAGATATAGCGATCGCCTGGAATCAGTCCATCAATGGTTGCAGAGGTGGTAGTGCCACGGTATGTGACTGACTTTGCTCCAAAGGGTTTCATGGCTGGAGCATAGGAGAGAATATATTCTGGAAGAAAACAGCAGATCAGTATGTCTGGTCAATTTAATTCGGACAGAACCTTTTGCAGTAAAATTTCCACATTCAGGCCTAGACCACAAAATGCAGTGCCAAGGACAACAAAACAGACTGGAAAGTAGAATATGAGGTACTTTGACTCATACAAGGTGTCTAGTGTGTAGAAGCAGAAAATGTAATTTATTTGTATCTATAAGTTGGTGGATGTTCCATTTTTTAGACATTCGTTCACTCCAAAAGTGCAGTTTCCTGGATCGATTTCTTCAAAAGACAGTTACCTATAGTCTTTACAGATTTTACCAGGTACTGACACAACATCACACCATTGTTAAAGATGAAAAATGATTTACAGAAGAACACAGGGGTCTCACCTCTTATTTTACCATTGGGTTCCTCAGGTGGATCCCATGTTGCTGTGACAGCAGTGCCTTTTCCTCTAAGTGGTTTCACCTCGAAGTTCTCAGGAGGTCCAGAGGGAACTGAAAAGTTACAGACATTGTAGGGACAAATGTCAAGACTGACAACATACATTTCCAAACAGAGGTATATGCAACTGCACTAGAGAGCTTGTGCTCTAGACGTTTAATGTTTCTCCTACCAGAAGATTTGCAGATGGAAACCAAACGCAGCTATAGGTTTTCCAGGAAAATAAGTAATGAAGTCATCCTTAGCTTTCCAAATAGGCAAGCAAGCAGTAAACGGTGACACCTCAATGAACCGTTACATAGAGGCAGTTATGACATACTGCATGAATTACAAAACTCTGAGGCAAGACTTACTTAAGCATGCGTGTGAGGGTGCGTGTGTATGTATGTGTGCATGTGTTACACTTGGCTTGAAAGTAAGTGCCTTTCAATGATTTCCTTTGTTATTTAGCAGTTATAAATGTACTGGTTTTAAAAGGGTAAATTGAGTGATTCTATCACAGCATTTCAATGCATTTTAAAGACTAACATCTGAAAGCATCTTATATGAAGGGTAGAGTAGCCTCAACCTAACTCAAGCAAAAGAATCAGTCATTTAGTGAAATAATGACTTGAATAAAAGTACAAAAGTATTACCTCATAAAAGCTACGTACATACAGAGCAACTTATAGAACTCCTTTGGGACTTAGTATGTCTAGCATTTATCAGCATAAGAACTAAAGTTTGTTAGGCTGTATTCTCCTCTTTTTTGGGATCCTTTTAATTCTGAAACAAAATGCTAAAGCCCAAAAGCGAGAGATGTGACCAATCACAAATCAGTACAGATAGTTACCAATGAAACATAAGGAAATTAATGCAAAAAACATGTGGATGGTTAAAGTGCAACTGAATAAAAAGTAGGTTTCTTTTCTCAAAAATACATTTATAAATAGAAGTAGAAGTATTATAATGCCTTTATATTTAGCTTATTAAGCCTTAACAAGCCAGTAACTAGTGATTAATTGGCTACTATAACTACTCTATGAAGCAGTACTAAGCATTTTAAGCATTTTCTAGAGCGCCTGTAATGCTCTTATTAAGTCTGATCAAGCCAACACTGGCTGAGTATAAGTACATTATTAAGCAACAGTTAATTACAATGAGCTAATTATTTTCCAAAACACTTTTATTTGTGTATTACACATCATAATCATTTACATTAAATTTTGACTGTCTGTTATTATGTCCTTATTAAGCTTTAATAAGCCAATAGCTGGTAATTAACTTTTTGAGCTGATAACTGCTAATTAACTGGCTGCCCATTACTATATTGTTAAGACATTAATAGGATGAATTAAATATTTTCCAGTTATAAAGATCTGAACTTCCCCTTTAGGTCGGTTCACATGGACTATACAAGATAGATATCATAATACTAAATGTATAAATTATATTAGACTTAATTCAACTGTGCATTCTGAAGTTTGTAAGAAAAGGATGGCTAATTACCAATGATGTTTAATTACAATCTACTGGTACTTGATAAGGCTTAATCAGAGCATTACAAATACCCTGGAAAATGTTTATTTGCCCTGATTACTGCTTAATACCAGTATCACAATTTGAAAATAATCTAAATTACTATAAAAAAAAAATCTTCAAAATTTTACTTGTATATGTAATGAGTACATTAAACTAGCTTCCACACAGCTATTAATCACTTATCAATGTATTTTCCATTATCCTTGCTTGAAATTCCCCAGAAATAACAAACTAATAGCACATACCTTAACTTTATAAATGTAACGCAAAGTGCTTTGGCCCAATCATCATGATCCCTGATTGAAAGATACCTGATTCAGGAGTCCTCTGGAATACAGATGCGCTCCACTTTCCTTGCTGGTCTCTCTGGGAGATTCGAATAGAGAACTCATACATTCCATCTGCAGTGAGCGATTCAATGACGATTCGCCTCTGGGTGGTCTCCTTATACTCCCACCGAGCAGATTCTCCTTTCTCTCTGTACCTCACTGTGTAATGCCTACATAATTATGACATTTAGTGCCAAAACAGTACCTCTAATAATCTTCATCTTTCTCATTACATAATCATATAAACATATAAATCATAAAATTTGACAGACACTCTTACCCAAACTGATCAATACAAAGTACAAAGAATCTATGAGGAATAATAATCTAAAAGACATGAGATGATTTGATCTACTTTAATAAATATGTGTGGACCTTGAGGGCGAGTAGGTGCAGCTTTGCTAAACAATAAACATAATCTACCTTTAAAATTTCTTAAAGAAAAAATTTGCTAAGTATTTCTTACCTGGTGCCTTCAGGGATGCTCTTCTGTTTCTCCACAAGAGGATCAACCCATGTGATGAGGACAGACTGGGGGGACAGAACTCTCACTGTGACGTCCTTTGCCTCTTCCACTTCCTCCGGCTCTGATAAACAGGATTCATGACAGAGACCTTTTACATGGTTTCCAAAAAGCATCATAATGCTGAGATCATCTCATGGTAAAACTGGACTGTAAGTACAATAATCTAATAGAGAAGATGATTTAACTCATAATATGCCACTTTTGTGAAGGTGAAAAGAGATGAAATGAATAGTGTTTCATGGTATGAAGATACTCCAAACCTGGAGGAGGGTTTTTGGTCATGGCGGCCTTGTTGGTTGGTGTACTCCTCCGTAGGCTTTTCTGTGCCTGCAGTGATACCACATAGACGGACTCAGATGCTACGAACAGAGGGGGATACCAGATATGGCCACGTATCATTACATATACCGTGCTGTTCACATACTGAACACACAACTCTCAACACAGTGCAAACAGTACTAATGAACTATTTCAGCATACAAATTATTAGATGCTCCTCAGATAGCTGCAATTTTTTACCTTCTAGAAGTAAAATTGTTATCAGAGTGAGTATTTTTAACCTTTAAACCTTGCAAGTTGCAGTTAGCACTGGTGACAACAAAAGTATCATGTAATTTGATATTAATTATTTCTCGCTCATTGAAACTAACAGAAATGTTCTCTCCGGAAAGTGGATTCTACACTTTTTATCGGTTCCACGTTTGTGTTTCTAAGAGGAAATATTATATTAATTTGATAAAAAAGTTGTGGAAAGTTCCCTTCAAGAGCATCTACTGTAACAACATCCCCAAGCTGTATGAATGTGAGAGGCTACAAACAAGGAAGAGCTTGAAGCACTGACTGTATATATGATGAATACGACATATAATTAATTGGTTGGAACATGCAGCCACAGCAAACTGTATTCACTCTATGGAAATCACATGATTTTCATCTTTAAGTTTATGTAACCCTGTGTTACACACAACAAAAATAATGTTACTGTATTACTGAAAGTAATAAATACATCTAGATGAATCTAGTTTTTTCCAGCTACACTCACTGACCATTTTATTATGAACGCGTGCCTTGTTTCTACACTCATTGTCTATTTTATCAGCTCTACAACTACAGACTGTAGTCCATCTGTTTCTCTGCATATTTTGTTACCCCCCTTTCACCCTGTTCTTTAATGGTCAGGACCCCCACAGGACCACCACAAAGCAAGTATTATTTGAGTGGTGGATCATTTTCAGCACTGCAGTGACACTGACGTGGTGGTGGTGTGTGAATGTATATCACTGTCGTCAAAACAAAACCTTGTATCTCCAAAATGTTAATTTTACAGGAGAAGAAAAAAACATACTTTACTTTTAATGTAAGTCATTAGATTTAGATCATTTTCTTTGATCCAATTATCATAAAATTTACACCCAATGTAAGGGCAACACAAACTTTTAAATTATGTCAAAAACTGAAAAATGGCAAGAATGGAGATACAAGGTTTTGTTCCAACAGTAGCGATATTGTGCTGGTATGAGTGGATCAGACACAGCGGTCTGGCTGGAGTGTTTAAACACCTCAGTGTCACTGCTGGACTAAGAATAGTCCACCAGCCAAAAAAATGTAGCCAACAGCATCCTATGGCCAGCATCCTGTGACCACTGATGAAGGACCAGAGGATGATCAACACAAACTGTGCAACAGCAGATGAGCTATCATCTCTAAATTTACATCTACAGGGTGGACCAATAAGGTAGGAGTGTGTAATAGAGTGGACAGTGAGTGGACACAATGTTTAAAAACTCCAGCACCACTGCCATGTCTGATCCAATTACATATGGTATACATACTATATACTACATGGTAAGCGGAGCTGATAAAATGGAATGAGTATATAAACAAGCGTACCTAATAAAGTGCTCAGTGAGTGCATATCTATAATAAAATGCACTGGTTTCTAATTACAGTAAAAAAAATGAGTAAGACTAAATAAGACAGAAGCCATTGATCATATTGAACTACAAAAGATAATGCAATTGATCACAAACAATTATTTTAATAGGTCTAGTCGTACATGAATAGTACAGCAAAATTACTTCTTAGTTAAGTCACATTTCTAAGGGTTAAACCAGGCCTATTATTCAGTTATTCACAGGTTTCACTAGTGGGTCTAAACATTTATTACAAACTTTTACAACTTTAGAATAACTTATCCAGTTCACATTATAGTCCAGTTACTGAAGGGGATAATCTTAAAGCCTATTACTCAGTAACTATTATGAGTTATTGAAAATAAAATATAAAATGTAGTTTTCTAAGTGTAAAGGAAATGACGCTAGGACCCACCAGTGGGTCCTTAGAGTTTAAGTGTTGTAGTGATACACACTGCATCACACAAATGCTCAAAGAATATCAGGATTTCACTGCAAATTTAGGTCATCTTTAACATTCTTACAAGAAACTGTCTCATGTTCTCACCGAGTTTGGGCTTGTTAGCATTGCGCTGGTCAGCTTGGGGCTGACTGAGGTCCACTCTGTGTTTGTGTTGGGGACGGATGGGGAGATATCCTCCTCTTTGTGGACCCTCATGGCCTGAGGAGGACTGAGGTGGCCTCTGCTGCAGTGCTGACCTCTGAACTGAGGAGTGAGGGTTCGTCTGGGAAGAGATCTCTGACAACCTTCTCCCTAATGAGAGAGATGCAGCTGTTACAATCAGTTAAAGAGATAAAGGGACGGATTGGCGGAAAAATCAGAGATCAGTCATATCTCACTCAACTGGCTCCAACTAACATCATGGGAAAACCTAAAAACAGTACAGGAAAGCTACAGCATTTATAATTGCGCTGACATCATGTTGTTCATTATTACATTTTAAGACCTTAATGAGACTTTCTGTAACTGTTCTGGAATTGGTTTTTCAACATTTTTTTACCATGCCTGTATATGGCTCGAAAAATGTTGATTAGTCATTCATGGAAAGCCCAGATCACCTCATCCTGATCTTAGACCTCTGGCATGACTTTCTCAGGACGGAGATGGATTGAGAGAGAAAGCAGACATGTAGCATGTGTTAGAGATTTAGTACCCCGGTGGAGATTTGTTTATCCGAGTTTAAAGCCATTGAGGACCACACAGTCTTCTAGTCATCTGCTCTCTTGCTTCTTCCTCGCTGTTTTTCAACTGCGATCCCCCCATCTGACTCGACTTGGCCAGCAGATCAGACAGTCAGACAGTCTTCCTCTCTCTCTCTCAGAACTGTCTCACACTCATTTCCATCCTCATTCCTCTCTCCCTCCATCTCTTCCTCTTCTGCTCTTTGCCGTGCAAGCTAATATCGCTGAGGGTGTAATGAAAAACATTCCCCTGCACGTTCCTGTTCCCATTCCCTCCCTCCTTTCTCCCTCTGTAATCATTCTCAGATGATAGACTGCAGTTTGACTTCCTAGTTGGACATAATGTCACTTCATTTTTGAGGCCTGATTGCAGCAGATCAACTACAACAGCATTCAACAATGAACCTAATCAGAGTTTCCTACAGTAACAGCAAACTAATCATTTGAACCGCCATAGAAATTTAGCCCTACATTGAAAATTGCATTATTTGTATTTGTTGTTTTCTAATGTACATGAATGATTTGAGGATTAGCTGATGACTCAGAGGGGAAAAAATGAAACAGGGCTATGGCTCTTCAGCACGGCCTGCAAACAGCAATTCTGTAGAAGGTTCATCTATCTTATTAACAAATTCATATATTGCTATTACAGCGTAGCTATTTAAATATCTAGGGATGCACGATGATATCTGCATCATATTGTTAGATATTTGTTAAAAAACCATCGCCATCCCGCAGATGTTTAGATTTGAAATTTGATATTTCAAACTGATATTTAATGATGTATTTATTGTCTTATTAAACAGCAGAATGTTTAAGTGAAACAGGGCTAATATGCATACATAAATAAATGTTATGTTTCTCTGTGATGATAATGCAAGTAAGATTTCGATTTTAATTATTTGTTCTTTCCAATTTTTTAAAATATTTAAATTTTTGATAATACGGACATTTTACTCACTCAAATTACTACTGTTACAAAAAAAAACCACATACTTTTTTATGGCTACAATTTTCATTTAGACCTTTAAAGTCTTTGTTACAAATCTCAAAAACTGAACGTTTTTTCTCTTTTTTCTCTTGCCATTCAGACAAGTTGGAGTTACGAGTCTGATGCAGTATGTAAGAATCAGATTTAGAAAGTAAACACTGTTAAAGTTGCATAATGCACCATTCACACTCCAACCCATATATGGACATTAAGCTGCAAAAACAGTCTGTTTTAAATGTATTGTTTCTGTGATGTCAAAAAAACAATACATTTACATATATCCACCTATTCAGCCTATAGCAGCTTAGCACTGCCCATTCATGTAATCATAGAGAAAACTCAAAAGCACACCAATTCTTGGGATTCAATAATTAAACAGTCAATCAAATTGCCATCAGTTTAAAATGAAACAGGCCACAACTATGCTAATTTATCTTTGTGCAAGTACCACTACTGCTCAGAAGTAGACAGTAACCACACCACCACATACACAGACTCATAAAAAAAGGTGTCCTGACTCTTAATTTCATCTGTTTAAATATCTACTTTTTGTTTTTACATAGCTATTTTTTAAATGTATATACTTTTTTCACTCAATACAGTTGTATGCAGCAGTTTAAACACCTCCAGCTAAAGTACAATTTGTTGACTTTCTAAGTAAAAATAGGTTAACACATCCTCTACAGAGAAAACTAAATATAGTATTTTTCTGCACATTTTGGGGCATAATTTCTATTTGTTTGCTACGTTTAAGATATCATCACTACCCTAAGAATAACAGGTATCCGCAATGGTAACTTTACAGAAGAAGGAAAAAAAAGTTTTTAAAAGTTCTTAACTTTTAACGTAAATTAATGTAAACAGAGTTTATTCCATGTAGTTTTGAGAGCATTTGTTTGTCCATTCATTATGAAATTTTCACGTAATGTAAAAGGCGTCTGCTGAGTTTCAATTATGCAGAAATTTGCAAAACTGGACACCAACCATATTAGAAAAAAAAAAAAAAATTATCTATATCATTTGCACAGGTCATGTTTTATGTTCTGTTTTTTCCAAATATGAAACTAAACAGTAACTGTGTTTTAACATGTGCAGAAGTGTGTTCTCTATAGAGGATTTTTTACTTTAAAAAATCAATGAAACAGGACCAGGAGCACCCAAACTTTTGCAGACATATTTTTGGGACTATATTTTCACTTTTAACTGAGTATGATTTTGATCTAGTACCTGTACCTTCACTAATGTATAACTTCTTTAGACTTTTTCCACCTCAGGAACCAAGCTGCACTACGAGGTGCCAAGAAGAACAATGCCACAGAAGAACCACCTTTGGCTCCCTGAAGAACTTTACAGTGGACGGTTCTGTAGAGAACTGTTTTTGTAAATGAGACATGCAAGTGTGAAGAATCTGTTTGAAGATTTAACCTCCATAAAGCAAATGTTTCTTTTCTCCTTGAACCGGGCATCCGAGCCAAGATCCACTGAGGAACCTTTATTTTTAAGAGTGTAAGCATTAGGGTTGAAGTCCGAAATGGTTTCCAAGGGATATTGCATTGAAAGCACTGAGAAAAAGTATATTGTATGCTTGAGTTGAAAGTACATTTATGTATCATTTTCGGTTGCTACTGGGGTGAGTGGGTTCTTGGAAGAGAAGATGGAGAGTGAGAGAAGGAAGGAAAAAGAGAGTGAAAGAAAGTGAGCGAGTGAGCGAGCAGAAATCATCCATCCATCCTGGCCAGAGAGCTTTGGCGTAACTCTGGCTGCTTTTTTCCACCCTCTCGCACATTCTAAGAGGCAGTGCTTTAATGTGCTCACTCTGGCACGACTGCTCATGGTGCAGCAACGACACCAAAGAAATGAACACAGAAGAAGTGAATGAGATCGGCTCTGGTCCTGAAACACACTTAAATGACAGTAACAGCTACTCCTTTTCCCTTATGCACACAAACAGACATGTACAGTACCCCTACTTCCCCTTCAAAGAGTCTAGCCAACACAGCTGAATCAGATATCACATATCACTGACTTTAGAGCAACAGACAGTGTATCTTTCTCCTTCTCTCTCTTCCTCTTCTTCTCTCCATCTGTTTCATTCTTTTCCTCCCTCTCCCCTTCTCTCTTTCTCTGGGTTTTTTTGTGGTATGTATCTCCCTGCACTCCGTCTTCCCTCCTGGCAGGTTCTGGAAGGAACGGCCGGCTCCAGCAGCCAGCGCAGCTGATTTAACCCAGCTATGTGTGCACTCAGCTGGATTTCTATGTGGCCTGGCTTTTAACATGTGTTCGCACCTGGACTTGCTGCGAGAGCCCATTATCTATTCCTATGTGTCAAATTTGAATGCTATTGCACAAACACTTACGCATCATGTAATTTGAAGTATACATTAAATATGTTCCAAAGAAGTTGTATGTTTGATGTTGGTGTTGCTAAAGGATTGGCTCTTTTATACTTCATGTTTAAATGACCCATATCATGGAAAAACAAATTTCTCTCACTTGTGTTGAAATAAAAGTCTCTGATGTACAAGGTAAACCAGTGGTGAACCATGACTAGGCCTTCAGTTGGAACTATAAATGTCAATACCTTGTCAAAAATCAGGAAAAAAATCTATGACAATGCTAATTTCTACTAGCTTTGTAATAGTATGTTAGCGCCAAGTTAACGTTGGTACATATTAACATATTTATGGTCGTTCCACAGTGAACACTGTTTGTAAAAGACACTACATATGTATATTTAAAGTGTATAACAGACATTAACATATATTTTAACTTGCATGTCGCAGTTTTACTGACTGAAACCTGGTTAGACACCATTCGTGTTCGGATTCAGTGCTAAATCTAGAACTAGGTTTACAGTGCAGGTAAAAGGGGCCCAAATCAGACACACATTTGTCTTTAGTGTGACAGTGTGAACAGCAAAAAGCACATAGAATCTGATTGTTTTAATTCGGCTTTAGGCCACTTTCACTGTACGGGCACTGTACAGAAATAAGAGCAGAGCTTTCTACTGACAGAAAGCAAACTAACAGCTATTCAAAAGCTTGTTTACTTCAGGGACACTTATAAAAAAGAGAGAGAAGCAAAGGCATTAACGGAGCTCTACACAGATCAAGTCTCTTTATACAGTATATGTTTCATTCCCATTTTGGCACCGAATTTGCATCCCTTTGCTAGCATTCTTCTTCACCGCAGATAAACGAAATAAACTGAGCTTCCTTTTTCTGCTTGATCAGCTTCCACCATTAAAGCAAGCACAGAAATCCACGGTTTTACTCTTTTCCGTAAATTTTGTCCAGCATGGCATTTTAACATCTGCCATTTGTCTTAAAAGTTTAAAGCTGCATTTAACACATGGTAATGTAGATGTTGTGTGAGTCTTTAAATCTCAAGGAAATAGAGGACAGCTGTGTTTGGATGAGTGTGCAGTCTGGATTGTTGTTCTTTTGTGCATTCTGGTCAGTTTAGGAGCATGATCTGCTCAAAATGATGTCAGATATAGGTCACATTAAAAAGATAATATGAAAAATTAAACTAAAAAAGCAGTCTAAACATAGCCTAGATCTTCCAGAAGTCCTAGAGTGAAGTTTTTTCTCACAAAATTGGTCCCACCGATTGGAAATTAACACGTGACTGGATGATTCCACTGTCACTTCCTAATCATACTGGTAGTCAACCCCTTAAAATCCCAGGTTTATTACATACTAAAGCTTAATATATTTAGTAACTACATGAGCTTCAATGCAAACTGGCTGAGCTATCCTTAGGTTATAGAATTTGTAATAAAACTTTGGGACTGTCTATGGGTCCTGGCCATTTAAGGAGTTTGATGCATAGTGCCTTTAGTCCAGCTTCTGAAGGCTTACCCAATGACAAAGCTTAGCTGTATCTATCTTGATACAACAGGGAAAATCCTAAATGGACACTTTTCCATTTCAAGATTTGAACCCTTTTGTTTTCAACTAAAACTTACCAATGAAATAAGAGTATTAGGTACACACAGTCAAGTGTTATCATTGGTTTGCTGTTCACTTCCCAGTCCATACAGTCTATATTTTATAACCCATTTTGATTTATTTGTTTCTGTGTTGTCATTAGAATTAGAATTTTGAACCATTAACGAACTGTGTTTGCACACAGAGGAATTAGACCTCCGCATTTAACAACAACTGCCCCTGTCATGAAAACACATGCCTACAACATTTCAACTCCTTTCTCATTTTAAGCCTATTCATATAATAATGAAAACCCAGAGACAAAGCAATACTAAAATATTTCTGCACATCCATATCAATGATTTTGTGTGCCTATGCTCTCAATTGGTGTAATTTGTGGTCTCTGAACAAGAGTGTCTTTGATTCAATATTACACAAAAGCTCTTCTGAAAGACAGCAAATAGCAAAAACAATACAGTGGGTGTGTAAAACTAGCAGTATTAAAAATATTGTGCTAAAAGTAAAAACACTAGAGTTGTTTTGCAAAACAGCAATAAGTGAAAAAATACCCTTTAACCACTAGAAACAGCAATAACCCTTTAGTCACCCCTAGTGGATATTTAGGGCGTGCACAGCTTACACATGAAACTATCTGATGCATAAATGTTTCTGGACAAGCAATCAGATAAGAGTAATTCAATGCTGACTGTGATTGTGAAACACTTCTTTACAGCCATGGTCAATATAATAAACCCACTGCAGAGACCCAGAATCTTTAACTTTTACCTCTTACTAGTGCAAAGGCTCAGCCAGAAAGAGATCAAAGCAATATTGTGCCAGCAACATGGCACTACCAAGGCAAAGCAACAAATCCTGAGTCAGTATTGTGAGAATGTTTATGTAGTGCCAGCTTTGTGCCTGGTAAAGACTCCAATAAGGCCCAATGAAACTTATCTTCAAAACACCCACTTTCTGAAAAAAAAACATGGCACACTGTAGATAATGTCACAACCACATCCACAAGAGTATACTTATATTTCAGTAATGGAGTAATGAAACGTGAGCATGTGCGTATGTGTCAAAGTGAACAATTAGTTACTTTCTATCATCCCTACGTAATTATAAAGGTATCTGGAGACTGATAAAAGCAGTTACTCTATCTGGGGAACACCAGTTGGGCTGCTATGGCTATCCATTTTGTTTCTCATTTGCCTCATTTACTCCTGGGAGTGGAGGAAAGTACTCCTCATTTGGTTTATACAAACAGATTCCTTCCCTTTTCCCCTTGGAGAAGTAACATGCACGTAGTTTGGCTTCAGGCAAGCTTGGTGGATTAATAAAAAGAGAAAGAAAACCTGTGATTTAACAAATTTACAACTGTCAGACTGCCACTGTCTTCCCAGAAAATCAGGTGATTGGAGCTACCACGTCCAAACACAACTCCCAGCCTCTGGAGGGAAATCATTTCTGAAAAATCTTGCTGCACCCTAAGTGGTGTGGTAGGTAAAAACTGCTTGTAGGTGTAGTGGTTTAACATTGCTGCTTGGATAAAGGTTGGATAATTTCTGTTCCACAGGTATGAGCAATATGATGATGTGATATAATGATATTTAATATCATTATTGAGATAAATTGTTTTAAAATCGTTTTTTGAGCATCTAGAACATTGAAGAACTGCCTGTTTCTCTCATTAAAAGATTTGGACCAATTATAGAGAGCTGGAAAACAACAACCAGTGTATCGTAACTGCACAAACAGAATAGTAACAAGTAGCTGATTGGAGGTTAGCCAATTATGTTATTATTTTATTATCTATATAGCTTGAAATCTCCTTCTGTTTCTGCTTGAACTGTTTATTACCTGAAAGTTGATATCTGTCTCAGAAAAACTAAATACTGTAATCAGGGCTTTTTATCAAAATTCAATAATACAGTGTTACAGAGTATCAAAAATATACATATATCATTCAATTAACGAATTTCAATAAGTAGTCAGTCTTATCAGCACCAGTCAGCCAAGCATGCTTGTTTAAAATTCTAGGCTGTTTAAATTAAATCATGTATGCATGTTATTAATGTCAACCCTCTGCAGTCAGTTGCAGTCTATACCAGCTTCCAGCACCTCAGACTGTTTTCTGCTTTAAGCCACACCCACTTTCAGTTTGTAATTTAAATGAATGTATTGACAGGTCCAGACTACGGAGTGATTTGGTGGGGCAATGCCCCACAAATCAATCATCATGCCCCACTAAATCCACTAATGTTTACATCTATAGTGGCAAGTGGCAAAAAAGAATCAATGTGAAACAGCTGCTGCACTGTTTGCTGTACAAACCCAGTACAAAGGTCTACATCACTGATTAACATCAAGGGTTTGCATGCATCAACCCTTGTTCTGGCACCGGGCCTAGGTATTAAAAAAGGATAACAACTATGAACTATACTCAGACCTAATCATATTACATACTGTGAAAATACCTTTAAGTATTATTATGCTACATTTTTGCCACATTTCCCACCCTTACTGTTGGTCTGGCCCCTATTTCCAATATTACTAAGTGATGCTACAGATTGATGGTGTTTGCCTGAGCTGACAACAAGATTTTTGTGTGAGTAAGTCAAGATGCTAAGGCGTGCTAACCTTCACCTTCACATATGCTGCTACAGATGTGCAGAAGGGAAGGGAATTGGTTATTGGCTAAACTAGGAAAGTAAACATAGTTGTATATTTTCTTATGACCTGCTAACAAAGCTGGAAAATTATTTTTTATAGTTTTGAGTGAAATGACATTAGTAATTGACAACTGTATGGAATAAGTGAAGGGACCTACCTGTCGAGGAGCCATTGGAGGAAGATTCAACAGCAAAGCCATCCAATTTTACCCACTCCCCTCCTGTAGGAAAGGACATGATCACTTTTTGATGCACCATTCTTTCTTTGGAGCAACGTACAGGACAAAGGCTATATGTTTGTACATTACATCCCAAAACCAAAGCTAGCAAACCTTTGCCTAGATGAATTTATGTACTATAACTTATTTATCCCGGATCTTGTTTGTCACAGAGAGCAGATAAATTATTCTGGAGATTTGTGTGGCATGTGTTGGACGAGTGTCAGGCTGCCACAACACAAACTCTTGGTTTGTGGCGTGGGCTTTGGGTTGGATATGAAAGCAGGGCTTGGAGTGTGATTCCAGGGGTTGCCAACAGCGGATGAGAATGGAGCAATTAGAAAAGCAGATGGGACTTATTAAACTCTGTGTTGAGCTCAAGCGTGTGTCATGTTGTTAGCCGTTCAGTATGGTTTTATATGCTGAGATGAGGAATAGTCAGTGAGGCCATAAAATTATAAATATATTCCTTGTAAAACTTCAAAAATAGCTTTCAGTTCTGCTAGGACCCATCTGTTGAAGGGGTTGAGGTACAGTGTGATTCAGAAATATTATGTGTGTTGCTAAGACACTTGGATGTGTAAGGCTATTGTTGGTTAGCTGTACATTGAGCATGAGCTCATAAGAAAAGAAATGTAGTGGCTGGATTCATACAGCCAATTAAACATGCAAAATCTTTATGGTGGCTAAAGAAATAAACAGAACCCAATATAGCAGTAACAATAACAATTAGGGCTGGCCAGAACAGCATCTCACACGCTTTGAATACTCTGTGATGTTGCTGAACGAGTACTTGAGTGCCTCCAAAAACAATAATATATACATTTCATAATTATGTATAATTTTCAATATGACTATTCTTTTTTAATCTAAATGTTCCAGTTTTCTATTCATAACAAATGGACACACATTTATACAATGCTTTTTACGACAAAGGTCCCAAAGATGCTGAATGAGAGTTGTGCTCTTGGTTTTATAATAAAGAGTTTTGGTTAAAATAGTGATATCGCCTCTAACTTTAGTTAGGAAAATTGTCAGAATTCCACACAAGTGTCCTGGAATTCTAGTGTGATTAAAGGATTAAAAAGACAAAGCTTTCAGATACTAAGGGAAAGATTTACTAAGAGAGGTGCTAATTATCGTCAGTCTAACAACACTTTGTACTGTGGGGGTGGCCAATTTAACGGCTTATCTACTAAGAACCAAGACTGTCAGTAGGATCGAAATTTTAGTGAGGCCTGTTTTGCCGAAAAGTGAACATTACATGCTGCATAAACACTCCATAACTCCAGAATATGAGAATTACACCCACTGCCAATTTCACTTTAGTTTTTTTTTACCAATGCATTGCAAAAACAAATTATATATAGGGTGCGCATTTTGTGTAATCTGTTAACTGCCCTCGTTGGTGCAACTTTGCAATAATTCTGAGAAAATAAGACATAATTTGAACACGAAACATCAGAAATTTGAGAAAATAAGAAATTATTTTGACTTTCTGTTTTGAAACGCAGGTCTGTGCCAAAAGAAACTGTAAAATTCCTGTTTAATTTCACTGAGAACCTCTTGGTCATTTTGGAATTGTTTGACAGTTTTGGTAAATTGAAGTGAGTGTTTCATTACAATGATCTTCTCTTGTGTTTTGTGCTATGAAGAGGAAACACCTATGAATGCATATGCAACGAGGCAAAGGTGGGCACCAAAAAGCCTTTAGTAACTATTTTGTAACATGTGACAGCCAAAATGGTGTTTGCGGTGGCACAAAACATTAGTAAATCTGCAATCTGAAATTCATAACAACATAATAATCAAATACTCAATGATTCAAATTATTCAGGCCAGCCTTAATAACAATGCGAAAAAAATGAAATCAGAAAAATTTCACACTCAGAAGTGCATGTACACGTGCACAGACAAAAGCACACACCCACACACAACATAATGAATGAATACTCAATATTCAATTTATTTGGGCCAGCCTTAATAACAATGCGAAAAGAATAAAATCAGAAAAATGTCATACTCACAAGTGATGTACACACGTGCACACAGACACACAGACACACACATACACACAATAGCTAGAGCATACCTCCTGGAGTTTCTGCCCTGTAGACAGGTTTACTCAGTCCCTCCTCATTCTCAGCACTTATCTTGAGAAAGTGCAGGACTCCAGGCTCTAACACACACACACACTGTGCATATTAGACAACTACTGCATGCTCCTCCGTTCACTCACACAGGCCTGAAGTAATCAGGCAATCAGTGTCTGTAATTCGTTTTCATTGAGTGTCCACTGGTTTACTGCATTAGCAGCCAGTGAGTGATCTGAGTCTGTCCCTCTTACCTACGTCCTCTAGTACCTCGGAGCGGCGGTCCTTGTCCACCGTGATGAAGCGCAGAGACTTCATAGACTTGCCATAACCGATGCTGTAGCGGTCCACTGGTCGACCGTCCAACTCGTTAGGTGGCTCCCACGTCACCTTTAAGCCCTTATCCACCGACGTTAGCTTCACGTTGCGCGGACGCAACGGTTTAAAGGCTGAGAGAGAGCAGAACACAACAACACTGCCGAACTGAGCAACGCTCCACCCACTAATGTGTTCTTAGAGACTGTTGCTAAACTGGACAAGCTTACAAAATGTGGACAAAAAACCCATTCAGGATAAGAAATTGTAGAGAATATACCTACATTTTTGTATGTACGAGTATGAGTTTGGAAGTTTGTGGTGTTAGGAGAGTTCAGGTGTAGTTCTTCTGTCTTTTCATTGAGCTAGCATGTTAGCATAGCGTCAAATGTCGTTGTTCACGACCTGCCTACTTTCGATAAGATACACAGTCCTGCTTAGTAGCACAAAATTAGGTAATGCCTCTAAATTAATATATTAGAGGTCTGTGGTGAATAAATACAGTTAAGTTTTACAGTTTTACAAAAACTGAGATGTGCGATACAATTTCTTGTTAGGTTGAATGGGATTTTTTCAGCCTTCTGTCCTGGCAAGTTACTGGCTAGCAGCCTTGCTACTCAAGAACACAGTTATTGGCAGAGCATGGATAAATTAAACGAGCGTTACCACACAACAGCAAAGAACTCACTTCCTGGTAGATAATATTGGTTGCACTGCATCGGTACAACAAGAGTTATTGAACCAAAGTATTGAAAAAACAAAACACTTTTAGTAATATTCTGATTAAACTTCACTGTACCTCTGTAAACATTCAGTGTTAAAGAACATACATGTGCCTAATGTTGTTGCCGGTATTAGCAAACTGGTATGCTATCAAAGCTGTTACAGTCTGTTATAGAGACTTTGGCAATGAAAACTGGAGCTTTGTGTGTTTTTGTGTTTTATCACTCCTTTATTCCTTAATTGTTGGAGATTTTCTCCAAGTGATCCGATTTATTCAGATGTCAGACTTGTGCCTGCGAGCAGTACAAACTGACAAGTATTATTTTGGTTACTACCACATTCTGCTCTGATCAGAGTAGTTTATTATGGTGGCTGACAAGACCCTATGCAAAGTACAATACAAAACCATTTGCAAACTCAGAAATGCGTCGCAAATTCAGAAAACACTTTCATCAGCATGACTACACCTGAACTACATTTCACAAATGCACTGCAAAGACAGAAAACACATGAAACTTCAGGTACAACACAATGAAATTAAGCCACAACACAACAGAAGACTCAAAGCGGAGGGAATATCTGTGATGAAAAGTCACTGGCAGACGTTTAAGACCACAGAAACTCTGAGGGTCCGGAAACACTTTCGCTGTGTTGTGACTGGTTTTGTAGTGTTTCTGAAGTTGCATGTGTTTTCTGTGTTTGTAGCGCGTTTGTCAAATGTAGTGTTGGTGTTGTCATTTTGATAAAAGTCTTCAGAGCATCTACAGATTTGCAGCACATTTTATTATTTTGCAGAGCATTTGTAAAATGCATTGTTTATGTTGTCATATTTATGAAAGTGTCTTCTGCATTTGCAGCTTGGTTTTTATTTGCAGTTCATTGGGTCTTCTCAGCCACCTTAGGTTATGGTTGGTAAGCAACCATAAATGACAGATTGAGGATCTACTTAATGTAAACTGGCAGCAGCCCATCATTATGTTTTCTGGTTTTTAAGCTTTTATGTCGTATAGACACATACATGAACCAGTCGTGCATAACTTACCAGTGTTTAATGAAGAAAGCTTCATTTAATTACAAGTTGCCTTTGTTTTTCCATTTACTACTGCTATGGTAATGCTCATTTCTGCTAGTGTTGGGATGGGATTTGCTATATTATGGGATTTTCAGTGTCATGGGATTTGCAATGTCCAGTTAGCACCAAGCTAGAGGTGGTGTACATTTTTCCACACAGGGTTTATTACCACTTAGGACAGCTCTGCCTGATTGTTACTTACAAACTGGAAAATGTAAAATACTCAAAGCTAATTAATTTTATACTGGATTATATTTTGCATTAAAGCCACAAGCACAAATTCACCTTTGTGGCCAATGTTTTGATTCAGTCTGTTCTATTCATATTTACTGCTACTCAAAAAGAGGTGACCTGACTCGAGTTATCCACATGAAAGTACCTCCAGCCTGTATGTTTACAAACATTCTGATTTAGTTTTTGGCTCATTCACTCCGATCAGTGTAGACAATGGTCTGCACAGTGTCGGACATCTTTACTAAAATAAGAGCCAGTATGAAGAAATTAAGACTAATTCTTGTTCATAATGAGAGGAATGTGAAATTCTATTGTTGAGTTTACTCAAGTGGTTTTTATAACAACGTACTTTGGCTCACTTTTATTTGACCTTTATTTGCGCAACATGTCACAATTATTACCAGTTACATAACTAAATTAATTACTGTCTCACAAAGCTCAATTAAGGAAGTGCATCCAAACAATGCAATCAATCAATGTGATCATGAACACGATCCTTTTAAATTACTTGAGAAATCTATCAACACAGTGCATTATGTGGAAGTAACAAACTTAATAACTCATGATTACTTATTTATTTCTACCTAATGCACAAAAGGACACACGTGAGGTGTTCAGGAGCTTTTCGGGGATGTCCATTGTTGTACCACTCAGAGCTTAGCAGAAGCAGGTGATGGAAAGATTAGCTTGTTTGTCCTGTGACATAATGAAGACCAGCTTGGCTTCAACCAACACGAGTGAGTATGCAGTAAGCATCCCAATTTATGTTTATGTTGTGTTCTGCTGTGGTTTTGGCATTGGAAAATGCTTTAAAAATGCTTTTATTTTGAAGGTCTTTGAATTTTATTGTTAAGGCAAAATAAAAGCTTCCTTAAGTTCAGCAGAGCCCCTCCGTCATCATCCTCTGAGACACTGCAGGGTGGGTGGCTTCTCCTTCAGGAAGTGTCTGACGCACTCTCAGATGAATATTTGCCCTGTGTCTGCATTTTGTTATAGAACTTTAGTTTTACGACCATTAAATCATTCGACTAACTAAACATTGCATTTTACAGTGTAGTTTATCATGCTTTAATTTAAGAATGATATGTTGCCAAGGAATAGACAGATGAGTGCCAAACTCTGAACTAGAGTTACATGGGTGATATGGCAAAATGTAATATCATGATACTTTAGGAGGTTTTTTACGATACACAATGTCTCACTATATTTATTTTTTTCTGACATTTATAAATTAGAACAGAAAACTGTCCACATTTTAAAAATACCATCAAAAACTATGAATATATTTGGATTCAACATTTCACACACTGTGCTGCACTAAATCTAATTAAACATGACTAAATATACTCTCTTTTTAATCAAATATGCAGTCGGAAAGTGATTTTTAAGTACTGATAATAGCCACGATATGTTCAGAAAAGCATATTGTGACATATTGTGATGTCATTTCTCACAATAACAGTATTGTCATATTGCCCAGTTCTACTCTGAAAGAAGTAATGTAGATTCATAAATCCAGGAAGCTTCAGTCTGTGATGACTTTTTCATGTCAATGAAGCTCGTGTGTCTGAAGTGCTACACGTGTTTTTCCACTTTTGAGTTTAAGCTGAAAATGACTCTTGTCACTGTATCTGCTTACTATACACCAACATGAGCATGGCAACCAGCCCTGTAGGAGAAGTCTCTCACATACAAATACAGATTCATGCCAGTAGCATAGCCAGAATTTCATTTTAGGGGTGGGAGGTGGTTACAGGTTAAGGGGGCTAGCTAGCAAGATGTCCCAGAGATATTGCGGTAATTTGGATATAATCAATCAGCTAAGCTATTAGAAAATTACTCCCCCATTACCATAATCAGAGAAAAACATTTGAGTAGTAAACATAACACATGATTGCTTCCCTTACATTTAAAGGGAAATTCCACAGATGTTTCAAATTTCCTGGATAATTCCATTGGTAAGGTGTGAACAAAGTCATTCAGAATGGTTTGATGTGAAAAAGTCCTTTCTAGAGAAAATAGCAGAGTCAGAACTGTTCACAGTGGTGATGATAGGAACCAGACATCTAAGACTTTTAATGACTCCACAAGCCACCAGAAAGCTATTACATGAAAATGTTCCACATACACTGCCTGATGCCATGTTTTGCAATTATTTTCAGATAAGATTTTGGCCCAAAATCAGATTTTTATATTTTTTTCAGATTTTTTACTCAGATTTTTTTACTATTTTACCATCCCCAGTATTACATTAAACCTCAGAAGATACATGTAGTTTCACTGGTCGTTAAATAAGATATATTTTCATAAACATTAGAATTTCTGGTTCTTATCACCACCATTGTAAAGAAATCAGAGTCAGTAAGTTTCTCCACAATGAACCATTTCACGTCAAAACACTCTGAACAACTTATTTCACCTCAATGACTATATACTGCAGAATTAAAAATAAAATCAGGGAAATTTCCTTTAATTGGCTTCTATAACAACTGATGGCATGCAAAGAATGACGCTGAAGCTTGCCATCTTATTTGCCAGCTTCTCATTCAGATTTTCTGTTGCACCTTAAAAAGTGCAGCAGTAACATTCTTGTTTTCTTAACAATGGTCAACTACTAGTCACTAGCTGAGTAAATATAGGTCAAGGACTATAGAATCTAGCACAGTTCTTCTCACTATCAGGAGCAACAGTGGAGCAACCTAATGCTGCGTTTATATGTTAGTTCAGAAATACCGCCTTTATGTGAAAAGAAATATTTCTGTGCCTTTTTGCGCAACCGATATTGGAATACAGATGCGTAAATGTTGCCATGGTGATAGTATCTGCTAAAAATTGTGCTTTTTCAATCTCTTAAGCTGGAAAGAATGCATGGGGATGCAAGAACTTGGCATCTTTGCACACTGGCATTGGACAAATCTGGGTTCCAAGAAGGCATAGGCCTACCAGTGTCCCCAAGGCCCATGTACAACCACAGACAGAATTTTTTTTAATTATTGCTCCATTGTGTACAATATCATTTAACAGAATGCAATCAATGTTTTTATTAATATAAAACCAATTAGATTGCAGATAAATAGTTAAAATTGTTTTAATGCTAGACGTATA